AGATCAACATACGAGCGCAACTGTAACTGTACACTCAACTGATGCCACTGCGGTCTCCCATCAAAGTCTTTTTTGGACTCGACGCGGAGAGATGCGACGACTGTGAGGTGGGATGAGGAGGAGGGCCGGTGCCGCGATATCTCTCGTCCTCTCTCTCTCTTTTTTACGATCAGGGGAAACAAGATGCTCGGCGTAGTCGGCACTTGGCTTCGTTCATCATTTATTTTTTTTATTTTTTTTTCCATTGCTTTGCTTTATGTGCTCCCCCCCCCCACCCCCCACACTTTTTTTAAATGAAATATTTAACTATTTTCCCATTGTGAAACAAAATCAATCTGTGCTACTTTCTTCGTAGACACAAACATCAACACGAATAAGCACGCTCTGCTCCTCCTCCATACCCCTTCCCTATCTCTCTACCCCCCGCCCTCTCTCTACCCCCCCCCTCTCCCTACTCTCTCTCTACGTCCCCCCCTGCCTCTCGCCCTCTCCCTCACTCTCTAAGTCTCCCGACCTTCGCAAACCTGCTCAGTTGCATTTTTGCGGGCGTCTGGAATTTGCACGCGGTTCCGCGATCTTTATTTATTTCTGATTATTTATTAGTATGACTCCATCGCAGGGCATGCTGTCGTGCGCGCAGATGGTCACCGCGCTCGACTCGCGATGCAGAGGTCACCACTTGGCCTTTCGATCTCCCGGGGCGGGGGGGGGGGCGCGGAGGGGCAATAAAATAATCTCCACCTCCCCCCACCCCCCACTCTACTGTCCACCCAGTAGTATTAATGGGTCAGAGGCTACGATTTGGCGTGCGTTGGCGGGGTAAAGTGTGGGTACTCCGACATCTTCCGAGACGCCTAGCCCAGCGTGGGTGAGGAGGCCACATACCAGCCTCCATCGATGCGGCTGCTACTCGCTAACAGCACTTGTGCCCCGTGAGTCTTGTTAAGACTATACGGGGGGGGGGGCAGTGGCGAGCGATATCTGAACCGGCCCTAGCCCCGACCAGCGGAGTGAAGTGTGACTTTGCCCGGTAATGGACAATATTATTATTAATATGAAAGAGAATCGTAGTGTACGTAAACTCCTACAGTATACATCACAGTAATACACGTTGTGTGTGTACGTTACGGTATGTTGCGTGTATAAAAGTGGCGTTGGCGAATTGCGAAACGTAGTGATAAGAAGCACCTCCATGTAGCGGTTCTCATGTTATTTTACGTTTGCCAACCGCAAAGTTTCCCCACAATTTGCCACTCTGGCCCAGTGATGACGAGGGCTCCGTAAGTACGTGCTTTGTTAAAAAAAACCTTCTTTGCAGAGGCAGAGGGAAAGAAAAAAACCCACAGCACCTTCGTCAAGAGCACCACGGCCCCGAAAGGAGCAATATACAGGGTGGCCCAAAAGTCAGGGCACATCAGGTTATCCGTGGGACGGTCTTTGGTTCGATCCCGACCCTGACGTCTACATAATTGTAGTGTGCATGTCTCTCTCCACGGGGAGAGAGACATGCACAATGTTATACATTTCCACAAGATGATAAGCTACTTCGTTGAGCTATCATTTGTGATAGTCAGGTCGTTTTTGACAAATAAAGCAAAAAATAGTTACGTTTTTAGTTTTTGTTCATTAAAAAATAGGCGTTTGCATTGCCTTTGTGCTATTCGAATTCTGTAATGTTGATGGTTTAATACTGGTGCAGAGACAAGGCCATAGAGGATGCTGTCTTCGGTGTAGGCCAATCAATGTCAAGGGCAATGCATACATTATGAGCAAAGCATGTTTGTTTTCATGCTTTACCACAGGCATGTGTGGTTGATGCCCACTTGATGCCTTGCAATGGTTGTCAGTATGGTCATTGAACACCTCAACACCTGCATTATATTTTTACGCATAGGGTTATTATATTTATTTGAAGAAATTACATAGGGATATTTCATTGGCATTAACAAATGTTCAAACTGACTTCCATCGCCGTGAATGCATGATGAGTTAAATGATCTTTTAAAATGACTCTCAAGGTTACAGATGTACTATTTTACATTCATCAGTTGTGCTTTGTCTCAAGTTCATTCGGGGTTCTTGGTGGTCGCCTCTTGTAGATGACGGATTCGAGGTGACCCCTACAGGAAGAAGAACCATGGAGATGTTAATAATGATAACAAGAGAGAGAAAATATTACATTACAAAAAAATGCCGGTGTTAAAATAAATTAAGTAACCGGTGGCGTAGTTAACGACGTGATCAACTCCTGGGGGCGCGGTAGTCGGTCCGGTTGGGAGACCCCCAATATTTGGTTTGCCTCGCACGGTGCGCTACACCTCGTTGCTGCTCTAATTAAACTAAAATAAAACGTGGAACGTAAATGAAAATGAATTTAAACCGCGTTTTAAACAAGTGCTGCTGTCCAGACGTTTGCCCCCCCCCCCGCCTGTAATGCGCCGACTTTGGCGGCAACCGTTTATGTGGACGGCAAAACTGGCGACGGTTGCTTCGTGGGCCCCCCCCCCCCCCCGGCCGTGGTATTTGACCTCATGACCTCCGGGTTGTGAGCCATTTATTCCGTACCACTCCCACGGGGCATAGTGAGCGTGGCGCAGCACGATTTTCGCTGGTGAAATTTTCTACATTATGTCCGACCAATCCCCGCGCATACACGGTACAGTGCCCTCACGCTCGACTTCGCCCATGACTTCACGATCTTGGCACGTTAACCCCCCCCATCACCCCCCCCCAAGATGTCATCTCCCACGAAGTGAACCCTTTTCCCTCCTCCCTACGGCTGGACTTTGCCCACGAAATTTCATTGTCCCAATCCACATCACCGTCGTTCATTTATTCCCCAAGATGAGGCATCCCCCCCCCCGCCGCCGAAATAAAAACTCCTAAACCCGGGCTTTTTTCCCTTGTGGCACGGGAATTGACGTTTACCTGAAAAACTTTGCACGCCACTGCCAATTACTGCCGATCAGTTACCCCCGGGGAAAGGGAAAAAACAATAACTCACTGCGTCTCAAGACGCAATGCCCCTGCTACATTGAGGCTTTTGGCGAATTGCATCCGTGAGTTGTTTGGTATTCGTGTGGCAGGAGAAACCCGGAGAAAACCCAGCATTGTGCTGTATACCTCCTGGCCCACACTTTAATGTTGTTGAACTTCTGGGCCCTTCCGGCCCTTTGGGCCTTCCGGCCCTTTGGGCCCTTGGTGCAGTTGCACAGCCTGCACACCCGATAACCACACCGCTGTTTTCACATTTGAGTTGTTTTTAATCTCTCTAGTATTGGTTGTATGTGTGTGTGTGTATATATATGTGTATGTTGACCTGCCAGCGGGCGTTCGACACTTCACGTGGCCTCAAGGTGCACATGGCCTGGCACAAGCGTTGTGGTGACGTCACCGCCGCTTAGTGGCGAATGGCGGTTGTTGTTGTGTATGTTGAACTTGTTTTGCAGCGTACATAGCCAACCGTGCTAATCGCCTACAACACCTAGCAAACCCGAGTACAGTCGTCACCTCTCCAAGGAACCAACCAGGCACAAACGTGCTTAGCTTCCGACATCCGGGGTGATTTGATCGCAGGCGTCCACGACGTGATGACGCATTATAAGTCAATTTGATGATGGCTCTTCTTCTCCATATCAAATAAATGGCCACTGCCCGAAACGTCGCCAATAATGTAGGGGTTTTTTTTGTTTTAAGGCCACGGTGCCATTAACGACCATGTTCAGTTTTAATAGGGTGTTTCCCCTTTTTTCTGGCAACAAAACTGAAACCTTTTTTTACAAGGATTCATGTCTGCATTAACCACAATACCTGCAGTCATAATGCAAACAAATAACATACTATGATAATATATGCATTGTCCTTGAAACTGATTGGCGTCATGTGGTCGAGCACCAATTGGGTCGAGGCTCAAAAGAAAGCCGTCCCTTGGTGTGGACCAATCAGTTTCAAGGACAATGCATCATATATTATCATAGTATGTTTTTTTGTTTGCATTTTGACTGCAGGTATTGTGGTTAATGCAGACATGAATCCTCGTAAAAAGGTTTCAGTTTTGTTGCCAGAAAAAAGGGGAAAACCCCTATTATTACATTTTGGTACTGGCAAAGGAGGTCTAATGATGTTCAGTTTTGTTATTTGTGCTTGTGCACCAATGCAATTTCACCAAAGAGTTGGCAAGGTGATGTGTCCGTGCATGCGCCTGTACACGGACAGAAGGACAGTTTGTGTGTGTGTTTTTTTTTATAAATTTATAGTTGTGGTGATAAAAGAAATGACCATCGTAAATAAGCACTTATAGGCATCCGTCAATCCGCTGCTGAATGGACGTGGGCCTCCACACGGAGTTGTGAGAGTTGTTTGGCCGCACTTCATCACGGATGGTTGGTGGCTCAGAACCATGTTCAGGTGCTACCCGTCATTGACGATAGCCCGTGGCCGGGAATCAAAATCAGGTCACAGGTGGTTTCTTAGCGCACAAAGCTTAACCACTGCGCCACCACTCCCAACCCATTGGTAGAGTAATGGCCACATAATAACCCACGCAGGACTGTGTCGTGGGCAGCAGAGGGCACTACAGCAAAATGTATCCATGTCCCCCGCATCTACACTTCCCGCCTTAACCAACGCTCACTGACTAGGGTGGTGAAGTATGATGAAACACCCCCCCCCCCCAGACCAACACGGAATTAATTCACAGTGCATTGACTCAAGGTTGTGATTGTTACATATATATCTAAATCAGCTAAAGCCTCCCCTAAATCACGTGACTTCTGTGTGGCCACCCCCACTCTGAACCTCTCGCATCAACCAGCTGCCGCCCCCTGTGGAAACAGACTCAGCAGCAGCAGCTTCGAGGTCCTGATCCAGCCTCTTTCTACCATCTCCCCATTTCTCCTGACCTTGTGCTCCCATTCCTCTGTTACATCTTCGACTGTTCCCCATCCCAGAAAAAAAAGGGGTTGCCCGTCATAATACTTATTGTTGTTTGTTTCTTGCAGATGAGTCGACCCTGGATGACAAACCGTTCTCAGCGCCCATGCAAGGTGAGTGATGTCACGAAGCTCGCTAAACCATGGGCGCCGAGACTAGATACACAGCGCGCGCTTTTAACGTACCGGCAACCTCCGTCGGCTCCACAATCAACCCCGGAGGCCTCGTATCCCCGCTCGCTGGAGGCTCGGGCACAGGCGGACGTGGGAGAAGGTCCCGATTTGTGAACACCCGAGAGCAGGTGACGTCTTACACCGTCGCTTGCGTGTAAACATCAGGTGACTGGACTTCAACAAGAAATAAGGCGCACACCGCCTTGAGCGTGGGGGACGCGTGCTTTGCTGCGCATTGGATGTCGGCGAACGTACGCGAGGTTGGGGACGCGCCTGAGTGCCGTACGTGCGCGGGTTTCGGGATTCGTGAGCACGAGTAGAGAGTGCATTCACTTCGCGCACAACCCTGCGACACTGGGGGGGGGGGGGGTGGCATAGGTTCATTGGTACAGGATGGTAAATGTGTGACATTCGAGTATCAAACGTTGGGCTGTGCTATGAAACCAATGGTCATTCCGAAATATTTGTCGACCATGCCCCCCCCTCCCACCACCGCCCGTCTCCACCCCTGCCCCCCGCGGGCACAGGCTACCCCGACATGCTCTGCAGCTTCGGGGTGGTAAATGTGTGACGTTCAAGTACGCAACGTTTTGCTGTGCTATGAAACCCACGGTTTCTCCGAATAATGTTGACTCTGCCGCCCGTCCCCCGGCCACCCCCGCCCTCCCTCTCCACCCCTGCCCCGCCCCCCCCCCCCCCACCGCAGGCTGCCGCGACATGCTGTGCGGCTTCGGGGCGACGTGCGAGGCCGACGGCCGCAATGCGAGCCGCGGGGTGTGCCGCTGCTCGGCGCGCATCTGCACGGGCCTAGTGGCGCCCGTGTGCGGCTCGGACCACGTCACCTACGGCAGCGAGTGCGAGCTCGAGAACGCCATGTGCTCCATGCAGCGGCGCATCAAGGTCATGGGTCGCGGGCCCTGCGGTACGACGCGCACCGCTCGTCGTCCAACTCCTCCTGTTTTTGTTTGGGTGTTTTTTCTCTCTCTCTCTCCCAAGGTTTTTTTTTTAATTTCGATCGTGCTATCGGCCGTCGTGCCACGAGGCGTAGAACCCGTTCGGAGCACTCGCAGAGCAGGGAAACTCTCGGTCTTAGACAACGGCCCGCGGATGTGGATATCACAGAGCTTGCCTCTGAGTACCCCTTCAAAGTGATGGCTGGTCTGCACAAGTACGGGGTGGCACTTTCCCACCCGTTCTGCATATATACGCGAGCAATTGTTCGTCACCCGACGGTCAAAGCCGTATATTTCATTCTCACAGCTGGAATTCAGCCGTAAAATTCAGTGCGAAACCAAATTTAATGTGATGGGTTTTTTTTGGTCTAGTAATTCATACCTGTCAACCCTTTATCAGTCCATACCTTATTACAGACAAATTCAGACCTTATTGGTCACCCCGTGCCCTTATAAATGTCAACGTTCATCCCACAAAGTCCCATGACAAGGGAGAAAGATAAGTAGACAAAAAAATGTTTGACCGTATTGAAATGGCTGTACGCCATGTGGACCTGAAAACTCAACTTCCCTGTACAAGAATATTGGGTAAACCGTGTGGCTTGACACGGTATGAGTAATTGGTGACTGGCTGAGACCATTGGACTCACTACCCTTTGAGAACCCGGCTTGAACTTGGATCTCGGCAGTGCCAGCTCAACGAGTTGACCTCACTGTCACGCAGTCGCCCCTTCGCATTTGTAGTCGTGCTGTCAGCGCCGAGTCAAGAGATGAAGAATCCTTTCAAAACTCTTTCCCCGGGCCCCCCGCCCCCCCCCCCCCCGCCCTCTGATTGACTGCCGGCCTGTAAATACGCAGTGTGCGGCGTTCGTAAAGTTTTAATTGTGGAAACTCGCCGGTGTTTATGCGTTGTTCCCCGCGCGGAGCCCTTGCCATGGACGTAAGTGGCACTTGCGTTTGGTTAATTGCTGTGAGCAATGCGGTGGGAACCCACCCCTTCTCACACTCCAGCCACACTTTACGCTCGGCTGTTTGAAAAGGGATGAGTTTTTTTCCAGTTGTATTCATACAGGTGTGCTGCACCCAATGCAGGTCCCTGGATTTGATTATCCACGAACCTCATGGGCCGCAACCCTAAACCGCATCCACCACACAAACCATCAGTAGCAGCAGATGTGGACACGTGCTGCACAAATGTTAAATGTTTAAACTCTCCGGCAGTGTGCAGCTGCAGTCACCCAGAACAAAACACGTGGATCATATAACGAAGGCTCCATGCCTGATTCACAAACACGAAGGAGGCATCGTCTCAGCAGCGATGATGCACCGCTCCGCTACTCCTGATGCATTCATCTGGGCTTTTGCTATCAAGTCACGAGATGAAGTGTCCGTGAGGAAAATTTCACAGAGCAGTGAATCGCCCTGTGGCTTATAGAACGGCCCACGGAAGGGGATACTCCAGTACTGCTTTGGAGAACCCGTCAAGTCACATTTGGGGCACAACCTACCTGTACACACTGCGAAAAGAGAATGTTGGTTTTGCTTGACAGTCAAACCGATATTTATTTAGATTTAATGAAGATTATATTTTTTTATATGTAAATGGAGTTTTTTGTTTCTGTGCAGGGGAGGAAATGGAGAAGGAATGACCGGGCCAAGATGTCAGGGATTAGACGATGATGAGAGGGGAGGGAAGAGAGGGAGAGAGAAGTCGGGAACGAAAGTGGGCAGCTGCGTCTGTTTTCACAGTGGGCAGTGGCTACAGTGGAGGCATTCAGGGTGGGGGCGGTTGGTAGCTATGCAAAAGTCACGTGATTTACAGGAGGCTTGAGCTGATTTAGATGAATAGATAAATTATCTCGGACGGTTGGATGTCTTTCGCACCACTACGTAGCCAACCGTGGCAACTGCCGTCTGGTCCGCAGGCGCCAAGGACCCGTGCGAGGGCGTGCGCTGCGGCTTCGGGAGCGTGTGTGTGGCGTCCGCCAGTCTGCAGCGGGCGCGCTGCGTCTGCCCGACGGAGTGCCCCCCCTCCTCCTCCTCCTCGTCGTCGTCCTCGCCTGGCACCGTGTGCGGCAGCGACGGGCGGGACTATCCGTCCGAGTGCGAGCTCAACCGCCAGACTTGCGGCACCGGCAAGGACGTCTACAAGGTGTTCGACGGGCCCTGCGGTGAGCGACCGCCGCCGAGGCCTGCGCCAGGCTTTGTTTGAAGGCGGGAAGCGATTGTGGTGCGGGGTGAAACCGCGTAAAAACCAGAAGGATTGGGCCATACCGCGGTGGCGAGATGTTAACTACCTCGCCGGGTCTACAGGAGGGCGTGGGTTCGATCCCGGTCCTAACACCTGCGTATTTGGAGTTTGCATGTTCTCCCCGTGGTAGCGTGGATTTTTCTCTGGGTCCTCTGGTTTTGCTATCCACATATTGAATTGTGCGTTTAGAGCACTTGGCTACTGCTATAAATTTCCACGTGATAAGCCACTTCATTGGGCTATGATTTGTTGGCCAGGTCGCTGCTGAAAGAAAGCCATATATGTAGCTCAGTGGGCCTTGCATCATGTTTATAGTTTAAATCACGGAAAGCTTTGCTGGTGATTGGGGTTTTCCAGCATACTGCAAGATGTATTAGTATTCTGCTTGTTTTAGCCATGAAAGCCTCACTGAGCGTCAAGATTCTAATTTCGGGAGAGTCCTGCCAATTTTTAGCAGTAGGTGCCAATGTTGCTGCGATAGTGCAACCCTCATTTGCAGGAAATTTTCAGCATTGGGGGTGTTTTGGCCAACACCAGTTAGATTGTGTGCGCGTGTTTTGTTAGCTTTGGGAGTAAACCGAAGAGCCCGGAGGAAACCCATGCAGAGCAAGGGGGAGAGGAGAGAGAGATCCGGGCAGTGGCAGCGGACGCCAGTAAATGTTGGGAGCCAGCAAAGACGCGCGTGCAGTGCAGCGGGTAGCGCTGTGCTACGAAGCCGGCGACCGCGAGTTCGATTCCCACTCGCGGCCAAAATCGGTGACGATTATCTGAACTGGTCCTGGGCCTCGCCTAGGTCGACTCAGCCTCAAATGAGTATCTGGTTCGGTGTGTAAACATCGTCACTGGGGAGACAAAGGCGGCCCGGCGTGGTGCTGGCCACCTACCCCATCGTGTGCCGTGCCGGTCTTCAATGGTTATACTCGCTAATAGCACTTGCCCCAACAGTCTATTAAGGATACACGGGAGGGATCTTTGTTTCGACTTTCTACCGCACCGTACGCCACAAAGAGACAGCTACCATCAGGTAGGCTCCGAGACGGTCGCTAAGTCATCGGCGCGCGGTGCGAATCCAGGTTGTCTGTTTGCCATTCCGATCTTGCGTCACAATCCAATGTCGGCATGGTCCTGCCCTGCCCAGCGACCGCCTCTCCCCTCCCGTGCATCTTCCGCCTGCCCTGTCGCCCCCCGTCCCCCCAGACGCTTGCAAGGCGACGCGGCGCCTCTTGGACGCCGGGCGGCTGTGCCGCGTGGAGGCGGGCACGCGGCGCACGGTGGTGAGCCCGGACCCGGCGCTGTGCCCGCCGGGGCGAGGGTCCGCGTGCGGCGACGACGGTGCCACCTACCCCAGCGAGTGCGCGCTCGTGCGCACCGCTGCCCTACGCGGAGTGGCGCTCACCAAACTCCACGACGGGGCCTGCACACCCGCCGGTAAAGGGGCGCCTTCGTGGCCACGGCGAGTGGCGAGGTTCCCTGGGACGCTGTCGGGTGATTTGGAGGCAATTCGCCCTCTGGCAGCAGTGATAAAAATAATAGTGGAGGGGCCGAGGAGGGGCGATGCTCGCAACGACGAGCGGAGCCCCGGGCGGATCAGAATCAGAATCTTAATTAGACTGGAGGAATCCGCCTGAGCTCTGAAGCTCTTTTTCATCCATACCCAGTATAGAACGCAGCGAGGTGACCGCGGTGGGGAACACAGGTGGTGAATCTGCCGGTCGGTCAACTCGCGGCACCTGGGTCTGTCCCATGACTTCCTGCACCTAGGATGGCACATCAGTCAACCCACGGCACCTGGGCCTATCCCGAGAACTGACAGCAGTGAGCCTTCAACACGTGACATCACCTGCCACTCGAGGTGCTATGGCCTCGAGTGACAGAAATCAATTTCTGCTCTGGTCCATGGACTATTTTTTGTTCTTGCCCATGGACTAATTTCTGTTCTGGCCCATGGACTAAACAGTGCATTTGATGCCCCCCCCACCATCCCACACCCCCGCCTCCCGCCGCCCCCCGCCGCACACAGACCAGTGCAAGGAGAAGTGCAAGTTCAACGCGGAGTGCTCGGTGCGGAACGGCGTGGCACGCTGCTCGTGCGAGCGCCTCGTGTGCGAGGGCCTCTGGGCCCCGGTGTGCGCCGGCGAGCAGCGAACCTTCACCAACGACTGCGAAAGGAAGAAGGCCGAGTGCCTCGAGCAGCAGAATCTCCCGACCATCGCCAAGGGGCCTTGCGGTACGCAGGGGGGTGGGACGAGGGCGCGAGGGGCAGCAGTCTTGTCTAAGGGATTGGGTGGGTGGGGGGAAAGTGATTTAGACGGCGTGGGGAAATACAGACAGGCAGGAAGGCAGCCTGAGCCAGCGACAACAATCGCCCAAGCTCTGCGGTCCCATATTTGGAGGTTTGGCTGTTGATGCTATGAATGCTATAAATTTATACTGCACACGTGGGTGGAAACCGGAGTGCATGGAGGAAATTCCTGTAGGAGAGGAGATGGTGCGATGATCGTTACTCGTTCCGTTTGGCGTTTGTCATTTGTTTAAAGTTTGTTAAATATTGAGTTTTGGCAAAGGCTGCAATTTCAATAATTTTTAAACCAAATACAGAACCATTAATGCATCTTTGTCTCAAATCACTCCTCTTCAATCCGCATAATGGCCTCGTTCCTAGAACGTTATGTCTTCGTCGCTAGATTCAAGGTGAAGATGGGCTGCCCTTTTCAACGGGGTCACACCGCAGAGGCAGGGCTGCCAGAGGATTTAGAGAAGACACGACTTAGGGTTTCCCGAATTCCAGATGGGGCCTCGTGGCTCAGAGGTCAGAGCACCGAGCTACCCAGTAAACACAAAACGTTGGCCCAACGGTTTCAACCACGTGCCAACGTTGGTCCAACGTTGTTCCAACGGTTCCAACCACATGCCAACGTTCTTCCAACGGTTCTAACCACATGTCAACGTTGGTCCAACGTTGTTCCAATGGTTCCAAGCACATGCCTACGTTGGTCCAACGTTGTTCCAATGGTTCCAACCACATGCCTACGTTGGTCCAACGTTGTTCCAACGGTTCCAATCACATTCCAACGTTGGACCAACGTTGACCCAACGGTTCCAACCACATGCCAACGTTGGTAGAAAGGTTTCAATCACATGCCATTGTTGGCCCAACGTTGGACCAATGTTGGCTCAACGTTGGACAAACAGTTGAACCAATGTTAGCCCAACGGTTCCAACCACATGCCAACGTTTGCACAACGTTGCATCATTTTTGAGCTGGCACCGCTGAGATGCTCGATTCCCAATCCAAGCAGCCGCCTGTAATTAAGCCAGGTTGTGAAGTGTCTGCTTCAAAAAGATGCTGGAGGTAGTTGGGCAGAAAATGTCAGCCTCAATGAAGATTTTTTTTTTATTTGATAAACATTTATCACAGTCACGAAAAGTTGTGTGCGTAAATGTTGAAATATCCCAAGTCGACTACAGATTTTTTTTTGGGGGGGATAACATTTTGCCGCGTGAAAACTAACCGCCTCCTTTCTTAACCCTGCGTCATCATCGTCACCCCATCAACCAATCGCATCGCACACCTCATCCATCACGTGATGCCGCCATCTTTTTGTTGTTGTCATGGCGCCCGATGCATGCCGTAACCACAGCAACCCTCGCTTGCCGTGTCCCTTCATCACGTGGTCCGTTCGTGTTGCTTGCAAACGTTCTTAACCCTTTTACCGTTTTAAAAACAATGTTTTTTTCCCCCTTGAGGTTTGTCTCTTTCCTTCCGGTTTTCCCTTCTAACCCTTGCCGTCTTTGGAGAGTTCTGTGCCCGACAGGTAAAAAACTATAATTATTGAAACTTTAAAAAAATATATATTTTCTCCAAAAAAGAAAAGAAATACACGGTCAAAACAGTGTCAGCAGAGGGCACTGCAGAAACATGCAGAGTTTCCCCAGCACCTATGCTCCCTGCATTGACCGTCGTGGTTAAGTATGGTCAGACAGCCCTGCACAGTCTGCACAGAGTGGGAAGGCCCTCATCCTGCACTGGATGGACAGACAGGGGCTGTTCAATGTGCAGAGCGAAAGTCGATCTTGCCACGTTGTATATCATGAGCCTCGCTGGTCTTGAGCCATTGGTGGAAGTTCCACGTTCCTATGCCGAGGCCAGGTTTCGGACATCCTCTTTCACGTAGAACCCGGGGGTAGAGCGGTTCGTGCAGGGTCGATTGATGCCGATTCTCAAGCGACGTGATACGGCGCGTCAAACTGTGTCTCTTAAGTTTCGACTTTTTAAAAAAATTCCTTTATAATGTATTTTAATGAGTTTTCGTGGTTCCTGCAGCCACTAGAGGCCGCTACATTTTACTGTAATTTTTTTTTAAATATGATCGATTATTGCATTGTTTGTGTTAAATTGCAACCCTGAATCTTACTGATTATCTTAATTTTCTGGGGAGAAGAGATTGAATGGAAGGCACAACTGTATACTTGAAGATATAGCAATGATTTTGCTAACTTTTTAGTTGGATATTCATATACTGTACATATCCGCACACGCACAAGGATATTCACGTGTGTATGTACACACACATGCACGCATATATACACGTGCACACACACTTGTTTGAATACACTTACGCAACACACGCACTTATTGCACACACACGTGAATACACTTAAACACATACGTACATTCAAGCACACGCACACACACTCTCAAACCTGTACGTACACGCACACAAACTCACGTACACTTATGCACGCACACCCATGAATACACTTAAACACATACGTACAATCAAACCCGTGTGTACACACGCACACATATGCGCACGTGTCCCCTCCCCGTAGACGCGTCCACGCCGAGCCCTTGCGCGGGTGCCGTGTGCCACTTCGGGAGTTCGTGCACGGTGCGCGAGGGCACGGCGCTGTGCGAGTGCCCTGCGCCGTGCCCCGAGGTGCCCTACGACCCCGTGTGCGGCACGGACGGGCGCACCTACCCCAGCGACTGCGCGCTTCGCTCGGCCGCCTGCGAGCTGCGCAGCGGCGACGTGAGGGTGGCGAGACGCGGGCCCTGCGGTGAGAGGGCCCGCCGCCACCACCACCACCGGCCACCACCCCGCCACCACCACCACTGGCCACCCCACCACCACCCCGCCACCACCACCACCGGCCACCACCCCGCCACCACCGCCACCACCACCACCGGCCACCACCCCGCCACCACCACCACCGGCCACCCCGCCACCGGCCACCACCGGCCACCCCGCCGCCACCATCGGCCACCACCCCGCCACCACCACCACCGGCCACCACTCCACCACCACCACCACCGGCCACCCCACCACCACCACCGGCCACCACCCCGCCACCACCACCACCACCGGCCACCGCCCCGCCACCACCACCACCGGCCACCCCGCCACCACCATCGGCCACCACCGCCACCACCACAGGCCACCACCCCGCCACCACCACCACCGGCCACCCCGCCACCACCACCACCACCGGCCACCGCCCCGCCACCACCACCACCGGCCACCCCACCACCACCCCGCCACCACCACCACCGGCCACCCCACCACCACCGGCCACCACCCCCACCACCGGCCACCCCGCCACCACCACCACCGCCCACCACCACCGGCCACCACACCACCCCGTCACGCACGGACCGCATGGCTAGGGGGCTGAATGATTTGGGGAAAATATCCAATTGCGATTTTTCTGACCCATCGATTGCGATTTGATTTGAAGTCAAGCTGCAGTTCAATATTCGCTGTGTAATAGACTTAAAATGTGATGGAGCATTAGGGGCCGTCCATAAATGACGTGACGCACCTAGGGGGCAGGGGGTCAGATATTTGTGACGAGGGGAGGGGGTTGGAGAAATGTGACGTCACATCAAAATGCGCAACTTTAAATAAATATAGACAACACGTTCTACTTAATTAAATAGACCTTTTAATAAATGTTTTCTCCTACTGCATCAGCGGCACATTAAATACGCACTACAATGACAATAGTTTAAAGCGATTTGAAGCGTGTTTTATTTTTTGGGGGGAGGCAGAGCTTTGCGACGTCATATTTGAGGGGGGGGGTCTGACTTTTTGTGACGCCGTGTGACGATGGGGGGGGGGGGGGTAAAAAATCGTTCAAAATCGCGTGACGTCATTTATGGACGGCCCCCTGGCCACAAATTATAGCTCAACGAAGATGCTTATCGTCACGTGGAAATGTATAGCAGCCAAATACTCTAAACGCGTGACGTTGATTCTAAACGTGGAGGGAAAAACCGGAGGGCCCGGAGAAAAATCCACGCGACCACAGGGAAGAACATGCAAACTCCAAATATAGAGCTGGCGCCAGGGTCGGGTTCAAACCCACGACCTCCTGTATACCAGGCGAGGGAGTTAACATCTGACCACTGCGGCCCCCCCCCCCCCCCCACCATTGTCGCTTGGGATCACACGCAGCAGAAGCAACACGCCGAAACCCCAACTGTGAACATAACTGGGCGGGACCCTCCTGAACAAGAGTCTCGGTGAGGCTCTAAGCAACTTAAGTAAATAAAACTACTGCTAGAATTGCAGGTTAATCCGTCCCCCCCCCTAGTGTGTGGTGTATCGGGGGCAGTGGGTGCGTCACAGCAATAGCGCCCCTGCCCGACCTCGTTATCTGCGGCGGTAAATCCACGTGCGTCTGTGTGTGGGGAGCGGTAGTGTAGCGGTTAGCGTGTGTGGGGAGCGGTAGTGTAGCGGTTAGCGTGCCGCGCTGCGAATCCGGCAACCTGAGTTCGATTGCCCCTCACGGCCACTAACAACAGTTACGGATATTTGAACTGGTTCCTGGGCCGCCCCGAAGTTGCCTAAAATGAGTACCTGTGCGTAAACATCGCCACTGGGGAGACAAAGGCGGCCCGGCGTGGTGCCGGCCACCCACCCCCTCGTACGTCGTGCCGGCCTTCATAGGTGCTACTCGCTAACAGCGCTTGCCCCAACAGTCTGTTAAGGCTATCCGGGGGATCTTCGTCCTTTTTTTTTGTCTTTGTGCGTGTGCGCAGGCCGGTGTGTGCCGGCGTGCCGGCTGGGCGCCGTGTGCCAGGAGGGCCCGTCGGGCCCGCGCTGCATCTGCGCCCGCACCTGCACGCCCGTGCCGGCGCCCGTGTGCGGCACGGATGGCAACACGTACGGCAGCGAGTGCGAGCTGCGCGTGCGGGCGTGCGAGCAGCAGGCCGACGTCTCCGTGGCCAGCGCCGGCGCTTGCAGTGAGTCCGCGGGCCGGCCCTCGTGCGGACGACGACTGTGTTGCTCGCGATTGCGCGATTGTTTTGCTCATTGACGGGCGCGTTCCGTCTTTTACGTCGTGGCTTGTTCGTTCGGTCAGTCGTTCGTGGATATGTGCCACACGTGCGTGTGAGCGTGTACACGCGTGTGTGTGTGTGTGCGTGTGAGCGTGTACACGTGTGTGTTTGTGTGTGTGTGAGCGTGTATTAGGTGTGTACATCACGGGCGTGTGTTACAGGTGCTCGCCTGCAGCACTCTCCCCGACAGTCCGTTGAGGCTATCGTACAGCCGGCGGTTCTTTGTGTGTGCGCGTGCGCGCGTCACCAGAGCCCTGCGGCGCCGCGGGCGAGGTGTGCAAGCTGGGCCGGGTGTGCGTGAACGGGGCGTGCGCGTGCCCTGAGTGCGGCCCCCAGGGCTACTCCCCGGTGTGCGGCAGTGACGGCATCTCCTACGGCAACCCCTGCGAGTTGCGCGCCGTCACCTGCGCCACCGCCGTCTCCGTCTCCATCGTCAAATACGGGCCCTGCGACGGTAACACCGCCCCGCGCGCTAATCCGCTGTTCGACCCTCCACCAACCCCCGCCCCCGCACCTTTCTCCGCCCACCGCCCACCGCCACCGCCGGAGCCGTGATCGACCCCTGCGGGACGTGAAAAAATGTCCCAGCTGCGTTTTTTTTTGTTTCCCGTGAAGGTAGCGTCCGTCGGTTTCGGTGCCCCTTGTGGTGGGGCCGCCGCTACGGCAGACGTGGTTTGCTGCGACGTCGCCGGCATGTCCGTTGGGGAGGGCTGTCCCCGTGATTCCGAACATCACGTGCAACCAAAACGCAAAGTGTTGCGACGTGGCATTAACGTCCCGTGGCTTTGGGTTGTAACTTGATCACGAATATAACTTTTTTACGCTTTTATTATTTCCGTACAAATCCTACGGGCGATGTTTCCCGCGCCGTCTCGTTTGGAATTCGCGGCTAGCCCGCCCCTTCTCCATGCACGAAGTGTCCATCTGCCTTCCTCCGTGTGTCCCTCCGCACCGCCTTCGCCGCCGCCTGCAGACGAGTTGTGCGCCATGTCGGGCTCGGGCGACGGCTCCGGCGACGACTGCCGGGAGGTGCGGTGCCAGAAGTTCGGTGGGCAGTGGAGCAGCGACGACGAGGACGGCGTCTGCGTCTGCTCCCTCTTCTGTGGCCTCGTGCCCGACCGGCCGGTGAGCGGGCAAGACGGGCAGCGATCTCGCGCACGTAGCCCTCAACAGCCCGTTGGGCGCCAGTTCCGTTAGCGAGTAGAAGCACCTATTGATTTACACGGACAGACGGACACGTACACGCACAGACACACCTGGATACAGACACAAAGACGTTTGTGAACCCCCCCTCCTCTCTCCCTGCCACCACCCCCAAACAACCCCCGCTCGTCAACAGCTGTGCGGCTCCAACGGGCAAACGTACCGCAACGACTGCGAGAGGAAGAAGGCGGCGTGCGAGCTGATGCGCGACATCCACGTGGCCAAGAGCGGCCCTTGTGGGAAGCGTGAGTGAGGCCTCTCGAGCTTACACCGTGGTGGGGGGGGGGGGGGGGGGGGAGGGGTCGGAGGGAAGGTAGCAAGGGGAGAGAGGGAGCGAGGAGAGGGAGTGAGTGAGGGGAGCGATGGAGCGAGGCGAGGGAGCGAACGAGGGGAGGCTGCGAGGGAGATAGTGAGGGAGCAATCACTCCGCCCGCTGTGACCGACACATGGCGGCTCGTGCCGGCCATGTGCGGTTTGCGCGCCTGAGCGGCTTAGGTTTATGCGCACGTGCGGTGTGACACGCGTGTGTACGTTACACGCGTGTGCACGTTACACGCGTGCAGGAATATTATTATTCTGATACTCCTACTGCGCTCGTTTGCCCCAGTAGTGACGGAGGGAGGTGAACGGAGAAGGGAATGGAAAGTTTTATCGTTATCAACGCGCGTGGCGTCCACGTCGAGAATGTCTGTGTGTCCCGCGCGTGACGTCTATTGCACGTTGGCCAGCCCCCCTCATTAATAATCATGAACAGGTTACGTCCTCCACATTGACACCCCCTCATTAATGATCGTGAGCGGGTGACGTCACTAAACTTGTAGCACCCCCCCCCCCAATAATAATCATGACCAGGTGATGGCACTCCACATCGAACAGCCCCCCACATTAATAATCATGAAGAGGTGACGTCTTCCAAATGGACACCCCCCCCTCCATTAATAATAATGAGCGGCTGACGTCACTCCACATGGGGGGACGAGGCGCCTCCTCCCCCCTCCTCGGCGTCAACTTACAACCCTCACTACAAAGGCAGAACCCTCACGTCACGTGATCTCCATAACGTTATTGAGACATCAAAGTAAAAAGTACGTCATGATGAACAAGGGATTATAACCTTTAAATGAAATAAGTCTGTGTCACCGCGGCCTCACAAATTGCACACAAATGGATGCAATGAATATCATGTCGCAGTCTGCTTTTCGCTTGCAAGTTTCAGATTTACTTCAATACACCCGTCCTTGGATGGCAAAAGGCTAGTTAAATATAACAATTATGCTCCTTTACCCAGGAAAGGCTCAGCGGAGTCTCAGGACTCTTTTGCAGGGAGAGTCCTGCCACGTTTCCGCAGTAGAGGGGCAATATTGCTAAACGTGATCCCAATATTCAGGTAATTTTTCAGCATTGCGTGAAGTAAAGCTTACACGTTTGCCTACTTTACACGCGTGTTCACTTTGCACGTGTACGTACGTTGCACTCCTGAAGATACCCGCAGTAGTGCGTGGCTAAACCTTGGCGAGAGAAAAAACTCATCAAATGCTCGAAAAACGGACACCCAACACCATGGACCGATTGCACGTGGATTAACGAGCGGGTGTGAACGTGCTCGCGTGTTCGTTGTTTGTCTTGCAGAAGGGCCGAGGCCTTGCAAGGAGACGCTGCACGGATGCTGCCCAGACAACGTCACTGCCGCCCTGGGCATTGGTTACGGCGGCTGTCCCGGTAACACCTAGTGTTCCCTCCCAACGGCAAAAACAACAACAAACGCCAAATTTCACTGCCATTGTTACATTAATTCTTACACAAGTGATTGCTGTACCATGATGAAGACAGACGCAACGTTGGAAATACGTATGGTAATGTGATTTAAGGTCACCGTGAACCATTCTCTGTTCACTGTTTTTCCCCTCGTAAGGGATATGTGGCTGCAACAGGATTGGCTCCCTGAGTGCGACCTGCGACCCCGGAAGTGGTCAGTGCGTGTGCCAGCCCGGGGTCGGCGGGGTCAAGTGTGACCGCTGTCTCCCCGGATTCTGGAATTTCCGGGGGATGGTGTCGGAGCAGCATGCCGGATGCACGCGTGAGTCATGCAGAGCCTAGCCCGGGCCCGAACATATCCCTAATCCCCCCTGTTCTAAAACCTATAGCAACCGAAAGCCTAAACCCGAGAAATGTTTCTTTAGAACTGCTTTTTCGTGTTTAGTTTGTTGTCCTTCCTCTGCACCTCCGTCTAGCACGGTCGATCACGTACGGTGCGACAGAAGTTCAGTATACAGTCTGTTCTCCTATAACGCGGTAGTTACGTTCCTGAAGAACACCGCGTTATGGAAAAATCACATTATAATATATGAACCTTATCGCGGTACCCCGGGGTACCATAGCACCTCGGCTCTCGCATAATGTCCGTGATGCAGTCATTTTTAGTCTGTTGATGGTCGGCGATGCGGCAATCGACTCATCTCGACGAGCTGTCCACGATGCACTATTCAAAGTTCTCAAGTGCATTTGATGTTCTAAGCCCAGTCACCAATTGATATATATGTGTAGTGGGTTCAACTGAGATGTACTCTTCAACTTGGAGGGAGCGTATTTTATTCTTGAACACAGCAGGACAACATAACACAACGACCTAGGGTGGTGACCACCCTGGCTAACTCCGTAACAACTGCTAACGCGGGCCGGGGCTAACAGCTTACTGCCCGGACCACGTGCTTGAAGACTCGCGAACCGTAGAACGTAGACGAAGGGTTTCTTCCCCGGGATGGACAGCCAAGAGCCCTCTTGGGATTCGGCTTGTATTCTCTCCGGCGTGGCCGGCTCCACCACTGGCCACGCCTCCCTTCCAGAACCTTCACGAAGAACCTCGGTTCCATCGCGTGCCCCTCACAGCCCCCTCCTCGGGGGCCCCTCCGTTGCCTTAACTGGTCACGTGTCCACCCGGGTCAACTAGACTGTCATGGCCTTACCCGACCTTCCCTTAGGGTCGGCACACACCCTGCCCGCTAGGGCCGGTGCTGTACCCACAGCATGGTGACATCTATGAAGTCACTGCATATGTATTAAAAATTGCAGGTAAAATGTTCAATTTAATTTGGCTGAATAGCAGATCTGTCACGGGAAAAAAATCTCATGGCTACACACACGCACCCATACACAAAGCATTGAAAGCTTAAACATCGGTTTGATTTTCATGGGAAAAACTCATTGCAGGGTGTATGGGAGAGTTCGACCACGAGTTTGTGAGACATTTTGTATAAAATAATAATAACAATTCTACTATTTTTATATTCTTGGTTCTTTCGGTAAAGTCACGTAGAAGGGAAATAATAAAATAATAAAATATTAAACAATACAATTCTCAGGAAAAAAAAACGCCACTTTTTTCAAATTTTCTTGCTGTGGTTTTCGCACCTGATGATGATTGCTTGTGTTGCAATCTAAACGTCGTGAGAATTTTTTTTTTATTTCCCTTCTACGTGACTTTACCGAAAGAACCAAGACTATGAATCCCTGCAGTCACGAAAGCTTTAAATCGAAACAATTCTACTGTGAGACTTCCAAATGGCTTCTTCATCTCATCATATGGCGCTACGACCTTGAAATAAATTAGACAGAACAAAATAATCCTTTTTCTTCCGTTTCACACGCACAGTTTATGGCAAACAGGCAGTAAGCCTCACTCATCTTTCAAAGGGCATTTAGCGACACTCTTGCAACACTGTAGCCCACAGTACACCCGAACAAAATCGCTATCCTCAGGGGTGTAACAATTCACTCTACTCCCCCACCCTCCACTCCCGGAAAAAATAGTGTCCCAGAAATGAAATATTAAATTGCCTCGGCCATTTTGTATTATTTGGTACCCCGGGGTACTGCCATAAGGATCATATAATATAGGGCAAAGTACAGTCCGCGATAATGCGTGAGATGCGTACGCAGGCCGAACAAAGCCTGAGGCACGTGGGCAGCATCTCGAAGCATCCAGCAGCATCCCGCCTTGTGCGATGCTACGCCAAGGCAGCCGTAAAACCGCTTATTCCTACTCGTGTCACATAGTTCTGTTCACGTATCCAATTCGCATTCGCATTATCAAAAGTGTGTACTCCCCCCCCCCCCACCCCTTAATACATTCAACGCGCTGTGAAAACCACACGTGGCGTTATAGGCGAGCAGACTGCACATACATACAATAACTGGAACAACAACCCGAATCCGTGTGATAACTGTACAGCCTGCGACAATAACCATGTAACCCTAACCTGCTCGTGAGCAGCGTGCGGCTGCAGTGCGGCCGGCTCGGTGGAGGATGCTTGCCATCAGACCACGGGGCAGTGCTCGTGCCGGGATGGAGTCTTCGGCGTCAAGTGCGACATGTGCCCCAAGGGATGGACACTAGGGCCCTCCGGCTGCTCGCAAGGTAATACCGGGGCGCGGCATGGGGGACCAAATGTATGTACGTACGTTGAATTTCTTTGTGTGTATGTATATGTTGAACTTCTTTGTGTGTATGTATGTTGAACTTCTTTGTGTGTATGTATGTTGAACTTCTTTGTGTGTGTGTATGTATGTTTAATTTTTGTATGTGTGTGTGTATGTATGTTGAACTTCTTTGTGTGTATATATGTTGAACTTCTTTGTGTGTGTGTATATATATATGTTGAACTTCTTTGTGTGTGTGTATGTATGTTTAATTTCTGTATGTGTGTGTGTATGTATGTTGAACTTCTTTGTGTGTATATATGTTGAACTTCTTTGTGTGTGTGTATGTATGTTTAATTTCTGTATGTGTGTGTGTATGTATGTTGAACTTCTTTGTGTGTGTATATATGTTGAACTTCTTTGTGTGTGTGTGTATGTATGTTTAATTTCTGTATGTGTGTGTATGTATGTTGAACTACTTTGTGTGTATGTATGTTGAACTTCTTTAGCACCATATGTAGCCAACCGCGCTAATCAGAGGTGCGGGGGAAGGACAACAAACTGAACACAAAAAGTAGTTCTAAAGAGATATCGCTAGGGTTTCGGTTGCCGAAGATTTTCTACGGTGGTGGGAGTTGAGTCTCTGTTTAAGCACTGTTCATTTCTTACCCAGTTTGCAGTAAGTTCTGGTGTGGATATCGTGCAAATAATGTGTATATGTATGTTGAAATTATTTCGCACCGTACGTAGCCAACCGTACCAATCAGGGGTGTGGGAGAAGGACAACAAACTAAACACAAAAAGCAGTTCTAAAAAAAACTTTTCAATCTACAGTAAAACCTTAGATTGCGAGCATAATTCGTTCCGGAAACGTGTTTGTAATCCAAAGCACTCATATATCAAAGCACTCGTATATCAGTTGTGATCACGTGATGCTCGGCAGACAAAGCGTATACGTACTGCTCATATTGCAAGACCTCGCTCGTTTATCAAATTAATATTTATTGAAAATGTTTTGCTCGTCTTGCAAAACACTTTCAGACCAAGTTACTCGCAATCCTAGGTTTTACTGTATATGATTTAAAAGTGCATAGGCTCCAGTGGTTTCCTAATATTTGTAGAGCGTTTCAGACGGCCACAACGAGGCACATCTAAAAGCGCGCGATACGGTGACCGTCTTTGTTCGATGGCTAGCCAAAAGCTGCTGCTGCGAGGATGACCGGAGTGTCGTGTCACGGTTTATGCTCCTTCTTTGACGAGATCAGCAAGGTGTGGTGGTTCATTTGTGGCAAGCACTTATAATGAGTGCAAATTTATAATGTATTTGTTCTGCAACCGGGAGCCAATGCAGCTCGGAAAGCAAAAGCTGCTGCTGCGAGGATGACCGGAGTGTCGTGTCACGGTTTATGCTCCTTCTTTGACGAGATCAGCAAGGTGTGGTGGTTCATTTGTGGCAAGCACTTATAATGAGTGCAAATTTATAATGTATTTGTTCTGCAACTGGGAGCCAATGCAGCTCGGAAAGCAAAAGCTGCTGCTGCGAGGATGACCGGAGTGTCGTGTCACGGTTTATGCTCCTTCTTTGACGAGATCAGCAAGGTGTGGTGGTTCATTTGTGGCAAGCACTTATAATGAGTGCAAATTTATAATGTATTTGTTCTGCAACCGGGAGCTAATGCAGCTCGGAAAGCACTGGACGGACACGGTCGGATCTTGCGTTGCCGTTGCGGGCGTAAATAACTTTGGGCAGTTCCACAAATTCCACATTGCAAAAAATGTCCCTTCGCGCGATTCATATCGGGTGAAGATTTTTCTGCTTTTTTTTAATGGTAACTATCCGCAGTTTTACAAAAAAAACATGGCTTATTCGTGAAGCAAGCCGATGGTTTTGGCGCGCGTGCGCGGAAAATCGGGTTAGCGCAGCCCACCCTGCATCCATCGCAGCCGCGCGGGTGAGCGAGTCGGTTCGTCCGGGCACGTCCAACACCACTGCGGGGTTTTGATGACCACGGTTGCCGATTGGCCGACGTCATGCGTAAACAAAGATTCCGATTCTGAAGTAAAAGAGCTCAACTTTGTGGTCACACCGACGATCGCACACCTGTACGTTGACTCATTAATCTCCCCCACAACCCCCCCCCCCCCCCCCCCCCCCCCCACTTTGCGCAAGAGCGCAGAAGTGTGGTGACCACATCTACGCCTCTAGATGAGGAACGAAACAGGTGGACTTCTCCACAAATCTGGCTATCGCCTGATGAAGCTGGTTGTAGTTACTGGCGAAACGTCGTATTCAGATTGTAAACGTTGTGGCTTGGCTCTCCAACACACCGCTGTGTAGTGACAAATTGGGATGTTCTGTTTACGTAACAACCCCTACTTGCTGGCTGTGTCGGGCGGGTTTTAACGACACATTTATACATTTACGCGATCTAACCCCAAAAAAGCCTCTTATGGATGATATTGGCCGCGAAAGCCTACGTGTTAGACTGCTTCAGAGTGTCTGAATCGCGCGTCCGGAACTGTGGACGTGCCCAATTATCCCACTCGGTAATTTTTTCGACATGCTTGTACTTTATCGTTTGTATTGCTCCCCGTTTCTATCTCTCTCCCGTTGGTATGCTTTTTAGTTCATGCCAGTCGCTTGAACATAACGTTGGCACGTCGTTTACATCTCTCTGGCACACGCCGTAAATGATTGATCCCTACATGCACCGTGCCTTTGCACGTATCTCGCGCGTAAGAATGAGGTTTTAAATTCGCAAAGTATGCCTGAAATCTACGTGCTAGAGCGTGGAATTAATCAAGAGCCGGTCTGCCTTATTTTGGGCATTCGGGCGACACGCGTGCTGCCTCACAGCAAGAAGTTGCCGGGTTTGATTCGGCACTCGAGCGCCTCACCGTGTATGGTTTGTATGTTCTCTCCCTGCTCTGTTTAAGTTTCCTCTGACTTCTCCGGTATCCTCCCACAGCTAAAAAACACCACACAGTGTAACTGGATAATAACGCCGTGAATTACTCGATTGGGATCGCACGCAACGGCAACGTCACCCCCTGTTGCAAAAACTTGGCAGGACCCTCCTTAAAGAGAGTCTTGAGACTCAGTGATGCTTTCCTGGGTAAGCAATCGTGATAACAACACAATAATAATAAAATTATATGCATCCATCCCCTTTCCTTCCTTCTTGTTTCTCTGTTGCTCCGTGAACCATGGCCGCAGGCTACCGATGCTGACCATGTGTGGCGGGTCGCTCCTACAGGTCGTGCTTCCGTTTGTCGCTGTCGTTGACAAAATACAACAACGGCGAATCACATCAACTGGCACAGTTCAACATACGCACGTGCGTAAACCAGTCGGCCCACAATGCAGTGCGTGCGGCATCGCGTGCCCCCCTTCCTCCGACAGACGCGGCGCCGTGGTCGTGCAGCGGCGTGACGTGCCGCTACGGCGCCGTCTGCGTCGACGGGGGACGGACGCCGACGTGCCAATGTCCCACCGACTGCAACCTCCTCCTCACCGCGCGCCAGGTACGAGACGGTCAAGTATGGGTTGGGTGGGGGGGGGGGGGGTGCGGGGGTGGTGCGGGGGGGAGGGTGATGGGAGAGGTGAGTCTGGAGAGCTAAGCCACGAGGGTTGAGTCTGCGTGACTGTGCCCACAAAGTTCATTCCGTGGGAGCGCCTCGCAATGTTGGCTTGTTGGAGAACGATTCTACGGTGCTGGGAGTTGAGTCTCTGTTATATTGCTTACCCAGTTTGCGGTAAGTTCTGGCGTGGAACTTCTTTTGCATCACACGTAGCCAACCGTGCCAATCGTAGGTGAGGGGGAAGGACGGCAAAATAAAACAGTTCCAAAGAAATTCGTTTTCAATCTAGATTTTTTTTTTAGTTTGTTGCTCTCTTCATTTTTCACATTTTCCTCCTGCGGTGTCCAGTAGCTGCCGCCGCAGCCGACGGTCCTGGGCTGTGGTTGTCCTCGTAACAGAGCCGCGTAGCTCGATGACGCCTCACCGACTAAAGTAACAACGTCTTTGAGCCGTGACGGTTCAGTGAAGGTGGGAGGGGGTGTGCCACTGCGCTTCAGTGGTCAGCGCACCGGATTTGCAGTCCAGAGGCCGCCGGTTCGATCTCCCGGCGCGACAGTGCAAACAACGTTTCAAGCCTCTTAAACCCTCACATCCACCCAGCGGTAGAAAAACGAGTTCACCACAGCCGGCTGGCGGGTCACGTGCGGTGGCATAAAGTGTGGGCTCTCCAATCTCTTCCGAGGCCTCTTACGAGTGCGGACTAGTAGGCCCCAAATACCATTCCTGAGCTCCCTCTGGCAGCGGAGAGGTAGTGGCGTGAGCGAGCAATCGCAGGGCTGCGCCTTTAATTATAGGCTGTAGGCTCGAGGTTGTAGGGCCCGAATCTGGCGGTTGAGTTTGTGGATGGAGTGTGGAGGTTGAAGTGAGGGGTTGAAGCCCCGGTTTGAGATCAGGTAACAAGGGGCATTGATTGGCGAGTGAACGGTTACCGGGCAAAGTTAATGGGATTTGAGTCTGGGGGCAAAACTCAACCCTCACGTGGGGTTGAGCCAGAAAATGGGGTGGCCAAATCGGCCGTCGGGCGCCGAATGTCGCTGTGGGTTTTTTGGTGGGCAGGTGTGCGGATCGGACGCGGTGACCTACGCCAACCGGTGTCAGCTGCGCCTGATCGCGTGCCGGCTCGGCAAGGACGTCTCGGTTGAGCACGACGGGCCGTGTGCCGGTGAAGCCAACGCACAACAATGACAAACATAACAAACAACAAGAACTGCAACACAAACATATCAATGCACAACAACACAAACATATGAACAAACAAACATAGCAACACAACTGGAACACAAACATATCAACAAACAATAACACACACATATCAACACAACTACAACACGAACATATCAAAACAAACATAAAATACAAAACAAAAACAAACATACCAACAAACAACACGCTGCTGGAAAAGAGCTATATAGCTCAGTGGGCCTTATCTGGTAAAATAAAAACAAAAGTTAATTGTTTAGTTAATGCATGCAGTGCCTTTCTGCCACAAATATGCCAGTCAACGCACATCAACACATAAACACTCGATGTAAAATTAGAAAATTCTAAACAATGACAATATATACTTACACGTTGCAGTGAACGTCGACTGAAATTGACTATCGGTTAGATGTGCCGAAAAATCTCGCGAAAGCAAAGTTTGTAATCGTCGTCGTTATTGTTATTGTTCAGTGCCGCCCCCTCCGTTCAAGATCAAGCTGTCCTCGCTGCAGCCCATCATGCCCCGCGCGAGACCACCAACGGTGGCAGTCCCTCCGCCCAAGGGCCTCCTCGAGAACCTGCCGTGGTTTCCACCGAAACCCGCACCGGCGGTGACGCCGCCGGCGAGACCCCCGCCGGTCCCGCCACCCGCCGCGGTGAAACCGCCCGGGGTGGTGCCACGAAAGGGGACCGTCGAGGCGACGACGAGGAAAACTGTGGCTACGCCGACGGCGAAGGCGGTGGTGACGAAGGCAAAACTGACGACGACCACGGAGGACTGGTTTATTGACCCGTGGCAGGTGGAGGCCGGTTCGGGGGTCATGGGCATTCCGTTGCCACTGCCGCCCTTCGCTGGCCTCACTGACGAGGAGCAGAGCGGAGACGGCTCAGACAACGAGGGCAGCGGCGACTTTCACGGTGCGTGTTTGTAGAAATACGTTCTATGGTGCGTGTTTGTGTAAATACGTTCTACGATGCGTGTTTGTAGAAATACATTCTACGGTGTGTGTTTGTGTAAATGCGTTCTACGGTGACAACGGTGTCGATTGTCGTCGTTGTTGCTGCTTGCTTGCCACTCCATCATATCTCATAAAAGTATTACAGGTTAATTTAATTGCTTACTTTATTAAATTACCGTGGATTTGAATGTCGTTGTTTTTTTCAGGCATGCAGGCAGAAGAGCAGATAGCCCCTGAGCTTAAGTTCAGCTGTGAGAACACCAAACATGGCTGCTGCCTGGATGGAAGGACCCCGGCCGTCTACGCCAACAAAATCGGCTGCCCGCGTGCGTATCACCCCGGAGACCCCACCACGTGATGGTGCAAAACATGGACTGGGCCCAACTGAAGCCTCTTACACTCCCACTCTGCTGAACAGTCTACCAGTGAACACGCCAACGTTGGGCTAACGTTGGGCCAACGTTCCGTGTTTACTGGGTTGCATTTGAGTGGGGAGATGGTTTCAGTGACGAATGCCTTATTTGCTTGTGGTGGACGGGGACACGGCAGAGACGCTGCGTTGCTTGTACAAATCAGGCACATTCCAGATGATTTAGCGATAAGCTCATCTATTTAACCCTGCTATAAATGTGTAAAGGAGTCCCTGGGAGGCATCCATTTCAACAACGGTAAGTCTTTATTTTCAGGGAGTCGGTACAGCTCCGTTGAACCCAACCGAGCTGCACTCCGTCTTGGTCACCTCTCAGTCTTGTCCCAGCCTCCTGCCCCAAACTCAGATTGTGCTCCCTCTTATATACCCTCCTTAGTCAACCCTCCTTCATTTTGTGTCCAAGTCAATGGAATAAAATTGGGTGGGGGGGGGGAAGACAAAATAGATGTACACCTTTTTAACATTTTTTTGAAAACAATATGTTTTTTAATATTACGCTTTTAACACGTTCTGTTAAGTCTTTCCCACAACTAAGCATACAGATGACAAAAGGTAAAGGTCTTTATTTGTTTCAAGTTGCCATAAGTGTTTCAAATTCCATATCGTATACATATCCATTTGTCTTCTCATCGGGTACCGTGGCATTTTCCATCATCCATTTATCGCCAATTTCCCATAATACACCTTGCTTGTATACCACTACCACCATCATCAGTATTTTATGACCATACGCTTCAAATCAGCATCTTTTCCCGCTACTAACCAATAACAACAACAATACTCTAAGTATCTGTCTTTTCTTACAGCAGAATCCTTTAATTTCCCTCTACATTTTTCAAAACAAAAACCCTAAACCGAGTCCAGAGTTGGTTTATTATTGCTCTTAGGCATGGCCAAGCCGTCCCCACAGTGACCAGGGAAAGTTGGTCCACGTGCAACCTCTAACCCAGTAGACATGCGATTTTTGGTGTGGTTGGAACCGTTGGACTAACGTTGGGCCATTGTTGCCATGTTGTTGGAACCAAGAGGCCAAAGTTTGGCCAATGTTGGCATGTGGTTGGAATCGTTGGACCGACGTCGGGCCAACTTTCACATGCGGTTGGAACCGTCGGGCCAACATTGGCCCAACGTTCCATGCGTACATGGAAAGCACAAGGTAAGCTAGACAATGTAACATGATTTCCAACAAAGATTAAACCAGAGTTAATTGTCTCATTGTCCTGCTGCTGTCAAACATAATGTGGCCACAATGTTGACTTTTGAATTGGTGGCCAAAGACAAGGCCGTGTACATGAATACAGCGCGGCCTGGCGATGTCGTGTCACCTGTGAAGCATGATGGAAGGAGCAAGCCTGAGGCGGTCACAACCAAGCCAGTTTGCCGCCTAGAAATCTCGTTTCTTAGTCGTCGTGCTTTGAACTCAACTTCATGTGCAATTCTGAGAACGTCTGTTTTTTTTACTGTGAAGGCACCCACCCCACCGCACGGACTTAACGACTGGCTCTTTGCGTACCGCAATCGGCAAACCCCAACGGCGGTCATCAGTTGGGCCGAACGCTTGCCGATGGGACGCGGGGCAATCGAAATCGCTCCGAATTTGATCGTTTCAGGCCCGGTTTTTCCAATGACTAATAATGGCCGCTCGAATAAATGGCCGCACGAATAAATGACCGCTAGAATCAATGGGTGCTCGAATAAATATAGATTTTTTTTTTTACTTACAAGAGCCCGGTACAGAGCGAGAAAAATAAATATGGAAAGGGTGGAGGAAATGGAGAGAAATGGGCACGCCACCCCACTCACGTAGGGACTGCAAGCGGGAGCATGGACTTTTTATGAGGGGAATGGAAGGCGAGGGAAAAAGGAGCAAAGGTGATGGGGAAAGGGTGGATGGGGGGTACAAACACAAGGTCTCCCAAATAAAGTAACCTAAACTCGCCAAGTGAATCTATCATCGAAATGAATTCCGCAGAGCGGTGATTACCACACGTCTATCCGAAGGGTGACACCATGAACGTCCATCCACTCCCCCCAACAAAATTGTCGATTCATATGCGTGCAACTTGATGCGTGTGTCGCGAGCGTGATAATCGATTGTAATCGATGGATCGGTTACAATCGTTACAGGCCCACCGTATTTAAACGCAGGTAAGATGCGCGTCGGGTCCAGAACGAGCGTCGTTCACGAGCCACACAGTGGGTTTAGCCATAGAATACGTGAAGCGCAGTCTTGTCTTAGTTCGGGTTTATTTAGCAAGATGCGTATGAAGCAGTTTGTCGTAACGAAGTGCTTTTTGTGTTCAAATGAATTCCAATTGCCCTTTTTTTCCTTTCCTTCTGCAGCACAATATACCCTTATATGCCTTTCGTTTTGATAAGACAGATATAAACACTCACTTGGACGATGCTCAACTGCCAATTGCTCACGTTACGAGGCAGATTGAGTGTGATAAAAAAAATAACACTCCGTTTAAAAGAAAATATATATATATCGTACAGCAAGAACAGCAAAATAAATTTCAGCGATTCGAACAATAACGAAATACAATAAACCCACACGTCTGCGTGCATTGCTGTCTCCCCCCGTATCTCATCTCGTCCCGTGTTGCCTCGTCCCCTCCCCCATCCCCCCCTCCGGGTACACCACGAGCAGCCACGCGAGTCTTCGCTGCGGTGTTGGTCCTGGACACTCCGCTCGTCGCCAAAATGCCGGCCTTCACGCAGGAGACGAGCGAGCAGTTCGCCGAGCTGCGCGCCTCCGTCGAGACCGCCGTGCGTTTGGAGCGATGCGGGGGGGGGGGGGGGGGGGCACGCACGCGGGGGGGGGGGGGGGGGCACACACGGAGGCACATGTGGGTGCACGCAGGGGCATGCGGTGGCACACAGTGTGCATCGTGCCAAAACTGTCGGCAGTTCTTGAACAAGTGTATTGTGGCCCTCTTGTCTTAGGCCACCGTCAACAGCCACCCCATGCACCCCCTCCCCGCCCCATGCACCCCCTCCCCGCCCCATGCACCCCCTCCCCGCCCCACCGCCTTGCGCCCTTCCCCCGTGCATCCCCACCCTCAGACTAGGTTTTTGCGTGCCCCGTCCCGCCATCCCCTGCCACGCGCTCATCAGCGTGCCTTCTGATTGGCTGCAACCCACGCGTTATACTTTTGGTAGCTTGTGGTACATTTGCGGAAGAGTGCGGAACGTTGCAGCGGATTTGCGGTTAGTTGGCTGTATTCGCAGTAAATCTGCGGTATATTGAGGTAATTTTGCGGTAATTAGTAGAACTGGCTTCAGGGACATGGAGCGAAAGTCGTATATGTTTTGGACATTTAACCTTTGCCCTGCTGCCTTCAACCAATCTGATGTATTGCCCTTCCCGCCACTCCCGACCACACAGCTGTACAACCTTTTAGCATCATCCGATGTCAAGGACGACTTCAAGACCATGCAGTTGAAGCTCATGGAAGACAGCCACATCACTTTGGAGATGCACTTTGACCCTCGTGAGTATGCCACTGACCTCGCCCGAGTCACCGTTGTCGGCCGTTGTCTCTCCGCTGCCATTGGATGGCCTCCCCACGCCGTGACCATCCTCTCATCATTCCACCGCAGTGCCCTGCAGTGGCGAGTTGTTAACTACCTCGCTTGGTATACAGGAGGTCGTGGGTTTGATCCGTTGTCATCGGCCATTGTCCCTCCACTCCTGCACGACGGCCTCCCGACATCGTGATCGCTGTGATCATCCCCTCAAGTGGCCATCCCCTCATCTCACCACAGTGGGGCACCGTAATGGCGAGATGTTAACTTCCTCGCCTGGTATACAGGAGTTCATGGGTTCGATTCCACGAACTCCTGTATACCAGGCGAGGTAGTTAACGGGCCGTGCCAGTCGCCCTTGCCTGTTTATTTGAATTTTGCATGTCTCTCTCCCCGTGGTCGCGTGGATTTTTGTCTGGTTCTTTCCCTCCAAATTTAGAATCAACACATGTTTAGAGTATTCGGCTGCAATACATTTCCCTGTGATAAGCCACTTCATTGAGCTATCCTTTGCGGTCGGGGTCGCTTCAGAAAAATAACTAAATAGTTCAAGTGTCCTGCGATCCCGTAGTCCAGTGTTCACTAATTTTCAGAGGTGGGGGGGGGCACTTTCACCGATAAGACATCATCCATGTGAGTGAGGGCCGCCATGCATTTTAAACCATTGGGGGTTTGACAGCACGACGATGACGACAACGATGATGACGGTGGGCGGTGTTGGAAGGCGGGGGGCCCAATTAAAGGCCACCAGTGGCTTTGCCGGTGGGCCCGCACGGCCTTGCGATGATGAAGAACACCGCCGTAGTCCACCTCACCCCCCTCCCCCTGGTGCACAAGCTCCGGCTCGAAAGCGGCGAGGGCGCTCCTCCCGCACGGGCTGTGCCAGTCGCCCTCGCCGTTTTTTTTACGGCCCGCGCTCTGCCGCTCCCCTCTCCCATCTCTCCAGAAACTCGGTTCTCCCCACGGGACATCGAGAGAGCGCTCGTCAAGCAGCTGATATCGTCGAAGAAAAGGCCGATCAACGTGAAGCGGCCTGAGGAAAAAAACATCAAGATTGTGGATTACGGTACGTGGAGGTGGAGAGGAAAGAGTTTTGAGATTGGGGGGTTTTGTTTGATGTGTTGCAGCGGAAGGTGGGTCCCGTTTTATTTCCAGAAAGGGTAAACCCTGTTCTTTTTTTCATTCTTTGATCCTGGCAAAAAGATCCCATGATATAACTGCTCACCTTAAGCTTTTAATGCTTCGATACGTGCATTGTCTTTGTTCTGTCCACCTTTTGGCATTCTCCGGTCTGACACTGGTGAGACTAGGCCATAAAGAAGGCTGTCTCTGGTGAAGACCAATCAGTTTCAAAGACAATGCAAATAATATCAGGGCCGTGTCTTTTTGCATGTTCACCACAAGTATTGTGTTTAAACTAGATTCGAAGCTTTCGTGACTGCAGGAATTACTCTTTGGTTCTTTCGGTAAAGTCACGTAGAAAGAAATTAAATAATAGGATACGACGTTTCGATTGCAACACAAGCAACCATCATCAGGTACAAATGAATGAGAAAACAAACATAGTAAACTTTGAAATATAATGCAATACAACACAGAGAGTCGGCCAACAAAACAGTCAACACCCCACCTGGTTGATTACATTCTCACAAAAATTGCTAAATTTGAGAGAGAGACAAAACATAGACATGGAGACACACAGACAGATACACAAGTAGAGACTCACACAGAGACAAACAGAGAGAGACACACACATAGGCACACAGAAAGACAACGTCTCTGTGTCGAGGGCAGAGGGGGAGTTGTGTGGAATTCCTGCCTAGAGGGGACGGACGAGTTGGACACTGGAATTCTAAAGACACAAGCACGGAGCGTTTTGTGGAATTACCGCCCATAGCGGCCGGAGGAGAGAATGGACTTATAAACAAGCACGGTAGAAAGCAAATTTAATAAAATTAGGAAGTGTAATGCAATGCAACACAGAGAGTCGGTTAGCACACAGTTAACGCATAGCCTGGTTGATTACGTTCTTCCAAAGATTGCTAAATTAGAAGTTAAGTGTGAAACAAACAAGCACGGCAAACCCTCCCCGTAGAGGTGGTTCAAACTAGATTCGGAGCTTTCGTGACTGCAGAAATGACTCTTTGTAATCAACCAGGTGGGGTGTTGACTGTTTTGTTCGCCAACTCTCTGTGTTGTATTGCATTATATTTCCAAGTTTACTATGTTTGTTTTCTCATTCATTTCTACCTGATGATGGTTGCTTGTGTTGCAATCGAAACGTCGTATTCTGTTATTATTTAATGTAATTTCTTTCTACGTGTAGAGGAGTAAAATGGGGACGTGACGTCATGTGTGCCATCCAGTTGCGATGACGTCACAAACGTGGCATCATGCATGCTGGGCGGCTCGATGACGTCATGTCTCCTCTAGTATTTAAGGGGGACCCCGTGACGGGGTATAGTGAGAAGGGTGGAGAGGGAACCAGGGGTAGAGAGGGATCGAGTGAAGAGTTTGGAGTGAAGCCGCTGGTAGCCGTAGGAGGTGCTGCTCTTACCGGTCGGTGGGGTTGGCAAATTCCCCCATCCGCCTCGAGGGAGAGAGACCGGAGCTAGGACTTAGTGTAGGACCCCTAACCCCTGGGAGTTGTCACACCCTTTGTGTAATTGTAATATACTATAATAAACCTTTGGTTAAAGCCCTTACAGTGAGGGAAAAAGTATCTGATCCCCTGCTGATTTTGTACGTTTGCCCACTGACAAAGAAATGATCAGTCTATAATTTTAATGGTAGGTTTATTTGAACAGTGAGAGACAGAATAACAACAAAAAAATCCAGAAAAACGCATGTCAAAAAATGTTATGAATTGATTTGCATTTTAATGAGGGAAATAAGTATTTGACCCCTCTGCAAAACATGACTTAGTACTTGGTGGCAAAACCCTTGTTGGCAATCACAGAGGTCAGACGTTTCTTGTAGTTGGCCACCAGGTTTGTACACATCTCAGGAGGGATTTTGTCCCACTCCTCTTTGCAGATCTTCTCCAAGTCATTAAGGTTTCGAGGCTGACGTTTGGCAACTCAAACCTTCAGCTCCCTCCACAGATTTTCTATGGGATTAAGGTCTGGAGACTGGCTAGGCCACTCCAGGACCTTAATGTGCTTCTTCCTGAGCCACTCCTTTGTTGCCTTGGCCGTGTGTTTTGGGTCATTGTCATGCTGGAATACCCATCCACGACTCATTTTCAATGCCCTGGCTGAGGAAAGGAGGTTCTCACTCAAGATTTGACGGAACATGGCCCCGTCCATCGTCCCTTTGATGCTGTGAAGTTGTCCTGTCCCCTTAGCAGAAAAACACCCCCAAAGTATAATGTTTCCACCTCCATGTTTGACGGTGGGGATGGTGTTCTTGCGAATAATTGCACCAACTGTTGTCACCTTCTCACCAAGCTGCTTGGCAATGGTCTTGTAGCCCATTCCAGCCTTGTGTAGGTCTACAATCTTGTCCCTGATATCCTTGGAGAGCTCTTTGGTCTTGGCCATGGTGGAGAGTTTGGAATCTGATTTATTGATTGCTTCTGTGGACAGGTGTCTTTTATACAGGTAACAAGCTGAGATTAGGAGCACTTCCTTTAAGAGTGTGCTCCTTATCTCAGCTCATTACCTGTATAAAAGACACCTGGGAGCCAGAAATCTTTCTGATTGAGCGGGGGTCAAATACTTATTTCCCTCATTAAAATGCAAATCAATTTATAACATTATTGACATGCGTTTTTCTGGATTTTGTTGTTGTTATTCTGTATCTCACTGTTCAAATAAACCTACCATTAAAATTATAGACGGATCATTTATTTGTCAGTGGGCAAACGTACAATCAGCAGGGGATCAAATACTTTTTTCCCTCACTGTACCTTCAAGCCGTCTCCAAGTCGTCGTCGGGAACTCCTCAACACAAGTAAGCTCGAAATGTTGGTCGAACAGGGACATAAACACACGCGGGCTAAAAAATGAATCAGACAGTTACAGATTTAACTCCTCATTTGTGAGCATAGAAGTTAAGCACAAATTATTTAAACGTAAAAACTGCGTGTGTTCAAATTCATATACATGTTTTTTACTTTTTTCTTTTTTCATCAGGCAGCCACAGGGACAGCTCTAAGAGCGTCACGGCGAAAGCTGCCCAGGTGCCCTGCGACCAGAACCCCTGCCTCCATGGTGGCAGTTGCGTGCGCATGAAGAAGGATTTCTTCTGTTGCTGCCCGCTGGGGCGATGGGGGAAGGTGTGCGAGAAGGGTACGGTCCCCGCACCCACACGAGTGCCAGCGTCAACTAATATCGATCCCGGCCCCCCCCCCCCCCTCCCAAGTATCGGTCCCCCCACAGGAACAAATATTTGTACCCCCGGGTTCGGGTTACTTCGTCACAACAACAATAACAAAAATAAAGGGGTGCACATTTTTAGATGGGGGTCCCAATATTTATAAGGTGCAAACGAATGTGAATTCCTGGTTGGACAGACATTTTCTCGCAGCGGTGATTTAACGTGCGTGCCGGGCGCGTGCAATGGCGCCTCTGTTCGTCGATTGAAACAGATTCTAAGGCTCATGATGCGAGCGCGCAGTGGTGGCTGTACATGTCTGTAATTCGGCACGGCAGAGGTGAGGCTCAGTGAGTCACCGCAAGAGTATTTGCCAGATTCCCTTCCCGTGTGCGTCGAGTGGGGTGCCCGCATCCTGGCTCGAGGAGGTTGCTGCCTGGGGAGGGGGGGAGTGGCGACGCTGCTATCGTTTATTCCAAGTTGTGTGCTAAACGTAACAACCCCTCGCTGTCCCATCCCCGCCGCCCATCCTGTCCCGTCCAATCCCGCTCGCTCGCGACTTTCAGAGATCAGCTACTTCGACCCGTCGTTCATTGGCATGTCGTACTTGGTGCTTGGCCTGGGCAGCATACGTCTGTCCCACGAGACGCACCTCAGGCTGGGCTTCACTGCTTTCCAAGGAAACGGCCTGCTCCTCTACGCAGGACAAGCGTCCGGGCGAGATTTCATCTCGCTCGCGCTCGTCGATGACCACGTCGAGTTCCGGTGGGGATACCGCAGCACCCCCCCCCTCTCCCCCCCTAGCCAAGCCCCACCCCCCTACAATTCCACAATGTAGTGCCCTTCACCCAGCCACCTGTGCTGTTGACTCCCTGCAACCGTTCTGCTCAAGTACAGGTTCAATAACGTTCTTCTATTTTTCCTACGAGAGGTTAGGCCCTGGTTCGCGTGTGGGAAGTGGTAGTGTAGCAGGTAGCGCGAACCGGCAGAGGCCCAAGTTCGATTCCCGCTCATGGCGAACACCAGTGATGATTGTGTGAACCGGTTATGGTCCTCCCCTAGGTCGACTCAGTCTTAACTATGTATCTGATGCAATGTGTGATTATCGCCACTGGGGAGACAAAGGCGCCCGGGCGTAGCGCTGCCACCCGCCCCCTCGTGTGCCGTGCCAGCCTTCATCGGTGCTCACTTGCAGCACTTGCCACAACTGTCTGTACAGGCTATACGGGGAGACCTTTGTCTTTGTTATCTATATATGTAACGGTGTTATTGGGCCAAGATGCGCCGTTCTCATGCGGTAGCCGGCAATATCGGCCTCATGCCAATAGGGGGCAACAGAGGAGCTGGGCCCAGTGCTGAGAGTCTGCACGCACCCAGGGTCCAACTGTTACCCTATGGACAAGTATGTAAAAGGGCAGACCCCAGACCCCAGGAGGGGGGCTGGGGGATGACATCATCCCCGGATCCTTCTCGAAGGTTCGAGAAGGAAGGCGTAGCCGGGGCGGAGCGGGCCACGGCTCTGTATACAAGCCGGACCTCTGGACGGTCCCGGCAGTCGTCGTCCAGTAGAAAACAAGAAGCCTCCTGAAGACTGAAGAGCCCAAGGGCAGAGCCGTGCCCCTGGCAAGGGTCGGCTCTGAAAGCTATATCAGTGAAGACTGAAGAGCCCAAGGGCAGAGAATAGGGTTATTGTGTGCATGTCCTCTTCTCCCCCTCCCACCCCAATCGGTGCAGTTACTACTAGAGTCAGTATACAGGTAGTCCCCGACTTACGATGGAGATTCGTTACGACGACCCCATCGTGAGTCGAAAATATCGTAAGTCGAAAATGGCCTAGCCTACCCAGGAGTCTTAATGAATGGTGATAATTTAGCAAAACAGAGCAATTTACAGTACCGTACTGTATAAACTGTATACTGTATGTATTTATTACAATACTGAATTGCACAGTAAAATTTAAAGTAAAAAACAAGGTAAATTCTTAGCCTACCTATATGAATTGCAATTTCATAGAAAGTTTTTTTCAGGAAACAATCCTATCTGCTATAAAAACTCTTAACATGCATTGAACGTATGTATCGTATCGTGGTAACGCTAAAATGAACCTATCATACATGCATTGAACGTATCGTAACGTATCATATTCTACTGTTACCAAGATTCTGTCCATCGTCTGCATACTTGAACGATGTTAGGGTTGTTGATGGCTACATTAACTTAGTTGTCGGAAGAGGAGGATGGCGATGATCAAGTTACAGTGTCGTACCTCCTACGCTGCTGAGTTTGCCTGCCGCGCAAAATTATAAATATTTTAAAATTTTGTCATATTGCTATCGCCATCGTAAGATCGAAATATCGTAAGTTGGACCATTGTAAGTCGGGGACTACCTGTATACTGCTACAGAGTCGGTAGATACGATGAAAGAGTCAGTAGATACTGGCTATAGAGTCTGCAGATACTGCTATAGAGTCAGCGTATACTACTACAGAGTCTGCAAGAACTGCTATAGAGTATGCAGATACTGCTATAGAGTCAGCAGATACTACTATAGAGTCAGCAGATACTACTATGGAGTTAGTAGTTACTACTATAGTCAGTAGATACTTCTATTGAGTCAATAGATACCACTATAGATTCAGTAGGTACTACTATAGTCATTAGATACTACTGCAGTCAGTAGTTATTACTGTAGAGTCAGATACTACTGTAGAGTCACTAGATACTACTCACTCTATTGTATGTAGGGTGTTTAGGTATATATGCCTACGCGGGGGTAAAAATATTTGTTGAGGGTGGCGAGGTGGTCGACAATTTTCAGAAACCTTTTAGATCAACTATTTACTCCCCACTTTATATAACTTTTTTTACTTATCATTTTGTTGATGGACAAATGGACAGACAAACCGAAAGCCGGGCTTTCACAATAGCTTAGTATTTGTGTATGTATATGTTATGTTTTTAAGTTTTGAGAAATTTTGAAATCTATTTTTCCCCTGGGCAACGCCGGGTACTTCCCGCTAGTACATGTATATATCTCGTTGCCGCCGCCACCACTACTACCCGCTAGGTTCAATGCAGGCTCGGGGTCGGCAGTGCTGATGAGCCGGCAGGAGGTGTTATCCGGCCAATGGCACCAGGTGTGGGTGGAGCGGACGCATCGGAACGCGTTGCTGTCGGTGGACAACGAGCCGCCGGTGATAGGCAAGAGCCCCGGCTCGCTGGACACCCTCAATCTCGACTCCACCTTCTACCTGGGAGGGGTGCCCCGCGACCTCAGGCCCAGGTGAGCATGCACAGCGAGCGGTTCTTCCGGTTCGTGATGCCGCGAGATCATCGGGTCGACAGGTCAAAAACAGTTGCTGGGTTGTTTTGCTTGAAGACAATGACGTGGTGGTGGCGGCGGCGGTGGTGGTGGGGTGCGGTGGCGCGGCGGTGGTGGTGGGGTGCGGTGGCGCGGCGGTTCGCGCCCCGTGCTACAAGCCCGGCGAGCAGATATCAATTCCCGCTCACGGCTAACGCCGAGTGACGATTACCTGAACCCGTCCTCGGCCTTCCCTAGGTCGACTCGGCCTTAATTCTCAGACCGGTAATGTTTGGTAAATCGGCACAGAACCAACATATGCAAATTTTGTACAGCAATTAGTGACCGAAATGGGACCATCAACTCGCAACAATTGAAAACCCGTTTGAATCACAGGCTGCGGTTGAAACCCGTATTTGATTCCCAGGATCTCACCCTGCCACCTCCTCCACAGTAAAACAAAAACAAATCGGTCATCTTTAATTCTCCAATCTTAATCTCGACTGTGCTTTTGGTGTAATACGTCCGGGACGGGCCCCCACAGAAGCGGATAGAACAACATTTGAGCTTCTTCCCACCCATGGCGGCAGCTGAACCAACGTTTTGAACTTTCCATAATAGAAGGGTTTTTTGGGGGGTTATATCACGTAAATATTTGTCGTTAAACCCACTGCTACCCAACAGCCAATCATTGAGGTCTATCAGGTAAACAAACTAATTGGAATGTTATATACCTATGTGACTTTACCGAAAGAACCAAAGAGTACAGATTCCTGCAGGCACGAAAGCTTCATATCAAGATTGGCATGTTCTGTTTACGTGACAAACCTTACTAATTGGCTGTATCGGGTGGTGGCGTGTTTAATGACACATTTATATTTAAGCCATCTAACCCCCCCCCCCAAAAAAAAAGTATGGATAGCCACTAGAGCTACGAACTTTTAAATCTAGATTGAAAACTAATTTCTTTAAAACTGCTTTTTGTGTTTAGATTGTTGTCCTTCCCCCGCAACTCCAATTAGCACGGTTGGCTACGTATGGTGTGAAAGAAGTTCAACATACAACATACATACAGATGGAACAGGTAGAGCCCATATTTGTTGTACTGCCTTCTGCTGGCGAGCCCACGGTATGGCACCTCGTGGACGCCCACGAAAGTTTCACAACAACATCAGCTGTGTGTGGCGGTGATCCACTAACCCTCGCTACTGCTGCCTCCACAGGGCTGGATTACAGGCAGCCACGTTCTGCACACCAGTTTGCAGTACGAGTAACAAATTGGCACGTTTTGTTCACGTGACAAACCTTACTAATTGGCTGTGTCGTATGGTGCAGGGTCTACTGACATTTATGTGATACAACCCAAAATCCTCTTATGGATTAAGTAAATACACCGCCGCTCCCAAACCCACTATGCCAATCGGCATAATCAGAACCCATCAGCGTGGGCGGGGGGACAGTTAACAACAATGTTCTCGCCCTGCACCACCACCCCCCCCCCCCCCCAACCTTGCAGGATCGTCGATCAGACAACCGCTACGCGGAGCTTTATCGGCTGCATCAACCACCTGAGCCTCAACGACTTCAAGTTCTCGCTGGCGTGGCCGCCGGGCCGCTTGCCGGCCAAGGGCCTCACAAGCCCCGGCGTCCTGTACGGCACCTGCGTCGCGGGGTGCAGATCCGACCCGTGCGTCCCGAACCCCTGCAGCAACTTTGGCATGTGCGAGTTGCACGAGTACGAGCCCTTCCAATGCATCTGCGAACCGGGCTACACCGGTGAGACGTTTGGGGGGTGGGGGGGGGGGGGAAGGAGGCGTGAACCCAGACCCCTTAAACCAGGGGGTCGGCAACCAAAATAACAATAAAAGCCTTTTCTTTATTTGGTAAAATAGAACAAAGAGTCACAAAGAGTCACATCCGGCTCCGGAGCTGCAGGTTGCCGACCCCTGCCTTAACCCCCTTAACCCTGAACCCCAACTCGCCTTCCAGCACTCACTGGTGAGATGTGGGGATGAACCACATCCGGATGAACCACACACATAAACACTAATTGAGTGGAAGAAAACATCTTGATATATAGAGGACCACAGAGCTTGGGCAATTGTTAGTGCCGGCTCAACCACGTGGCTGTTGCTGCTGACTTCCCGCTTTGTTCGTGGTTCCTCAGCGTTTGTGAAAGATTCCATTTGCACGAACGATAACGACGATGACGACGATTTGCACAACAAATACGAAATATAACAAATGCGTGACTTTACCGAAAGAACCAAGAATAAGAATAAAACTATAAACGCTCGACCGACCATCGCAATAGGAACAGGGAAATTTCCACCGCCAGCTCCGGCACCTTCGGCCACTCGTTTGAGTGCAGGGAGTCCCTGCGTAGGCCCGCGTCCGTTCTTGTTGTTGTTGTTCCTGTTTATACATCGACTGTCTGTTGGTTCGATGGCACCGCTCGTTTCCCCCTCTCTCTCTCAGGAGCCACGTGCACTGGCCGGCTGCAGCCGTGCAAGCCCAACCCCTGCAAGGGGGACTCCAAGTGCCTCGTGCTGCCTGATGACAGCTACAAGTGCGAGTGCCCGTTCAACCGCGTGGGTGCCAACTGCGAGAAAAGTGCGTCGCGCGGGCGCTGCCACCCAATACGATTTCAAATTTGCGTCGCGCATCTGCCGGGCGGCGGTGGCGTACACCGCACGTGGCCAGCCCTTAATCCAGCAGCGAGGGTTGGCGGATCGCGCACGTGCGCAGCCGTTGAGGACATCGCCTCCCCAGTGGGCGTTGGGAGCAAGCCCGTACGTGCCCTGGCTCGCCAGCAGAAGCCGGCGCAGCAAATGTGGACCTCGCCTGTTCAGTCCATATGGGATAGAGTGTTGCCCCCTCGCACATGCATGGGTTTTCTTCAGGCGCTTCGGTTTCCTCCCGCATGTGAACACTCAAATTATTGGCCAATAACATCTTAATGTATGGAGGACTGCCATCTTTCACGGTCTCGCGATGTAGCAATTCGTTTGGCTCCTGCACACGAGCTGATCTCATGACTTTGGCTGCCACTCCGTCGTAAAATAATCTTGAGTAGTCAAAACAACAGAGATCTCAGAACCGGAATAATATGACAGAAACAGCATCCGCGATTGAACGACAAGAGACGTACGTAACAAACGAGCGAACGCGACCCACCACACAGATTAAAGTACGCACAAGAATGAATGATTGAATGGACGGAAGGGTGAATGAGCAAAATAACGTGACGACCGGTGGTGTACGTTTGCGTCCGTCCTACGTCGTGGCTGTCCTGACCCGCGTGGCGGTGTGGTGGTTCAGAGATGATCCTGAGTGGACCCTCGTTCATCCCTTACTTCAACGGCCTCACGTCATACATTGAGACAAAGAGCCTGGACCTGCTCGCGCCCAACGCCAAGTGAGACCCCCCCCCTCGCCCCCCCCTCCCCCCTCATCGCCCACCCCCCCCCACCCCTCCTCGTGGACACTAAATGCACCCCCTCCTACTGTACCATAGTGAAGTGAATTTCATTCTTGTTTGCAATTTTTGTTATCTCAATCGCCGTCGAGATGGAGACTTTCTTGGCTCTCGAAGAGCAGCGCAAATCCCTCCATGTTGGACGACAGTCGTGGTGGAAGGAGACATTACAGAACTACTTCTGAAGTTCCTTCTTTTGAGTCTCTTTTACCCACATCTTTTATATGTTTCGATTTAAAGCTTTCGTGACTGCAATGATTCATCTTCTTTGGTTCTTTCGGTAAAGTCACGTGACTTTACCGAAACAACCAAAGAAGATGAATCTTTTATATGCCCTTCCAAAAGAATGTCAATCAAACCAAGTGATATTTAAGATTTTTCTCAGGTAGAGCCAAGTCAGGTAATATAAAAAGCCTATATTTTTCATCTTACATTTGAATAATTAGCTTTGGGAAGTGCACAAAATATATGTGCAATGCACCTGCGAGAGTAGGTTGTGTCGGTGTTAATTTATATTTGGCTGCGATTTTGTTGACATTTTAGAAACCACATCACAGTGGAGGTCGTGTTCCTGATGGAGAAGTCCGACGGGATGATTTTCTACAACGGGCAGAAGTCAGACGGCCGAGGGGATTTCATCTCCTTGGCGATAACCAAGGGGTCTTTGGAGTTCCGCTATGACCTGGGCAAGGGTGCTGCAATCATAAGGTGAGGAGGGCAGCGGTAGGCTAGCGGCGGCCCAGCCGTGGCCCAGCCGCCGACCAGGTGTGGCCCAGTAGTGGCCCAGCTGTAGCTCAGCTGTGGCCCAGTAGTGGCTCAGCTGTGGTCCAATAGTGGCCCAGTAGCGGCCCAGCTTTGGCCCAGCGCTGGCCCAGCCAAGGCCCAGCCATGGCCCAATAATGGCCTCGCGGTGGCCCAGTGGTAGCCCAGCCATGGCGCGTTGCCCCTCATTGCGGAGGTTCGCAGTTCGATTCTCAGCGGCCGACCTGGTTATTATTGTCCACGTGCTTTTACCGCAAACATACCACGCTCCGTCCATTTCACGATGGATGTTGAAAGGTCGCGTGGCGTCGGACAAAAGAACAAGCCATCGTGCGCCGGCGTTACGGTACAAATTTTCCAGATTTGGCAAATAATTGTTCCGGTGAAGTACTCAATTGGGATTCATCGGTGCAATCGTCGCCCCACGACTTTGAACACTTGGCAGGAGCCTCATGAAAAAGAGTCAATGAGGCTTTCCTGGGTACATGAGCGTAGTAAAAAAATAACATGCACGCAGTGTTCATGATGATTGTGCTTGATGAATAAAAATGGATGATGTCGATGATGATGATGACAATGATGCTCAGTACCTTTTGGGTGAGTCACACCAAGCCCCCGTCTTGTTGCTCGGAAGTTTGACACAGAAGTTACTCGCGGTCCCAATATCCGCCGAGCCCTCGTCTCCGCCCCCACTGAGCCTCAAGTGAACAACTCGCGTCGCGATAGCCACACGAGCAACGCGATGTTGCCATTAGACTCCGGTGTTGTCCGCTAAGCCATCTCGCCCGAAATAAATCTGCACTTGCGACAAAAAAACGAACGATTTCTTATCATTCGGCATCGTCATTGTCGTTGCCAGCAGCCATGATCAGTCTACTGAAGGATGAGGGCCTCCCTGTGCCATCCCCGCCGCTGCTGTTGCCACCATCTCTCGTGCTCCTACAATGTAAACAATTTACGACTATAATGAGCCAAGAATGTCTGTGTGTCCCGTGCGTGACGTCACTGCACGTCGGCCAGCCCCCCTCATTAATAATCACAAACAGGTTACGTCCTCCACATGGACACCCCTTCATTAATAATCGTGAGCGGGTGACGTCACTAAACATGTAGCACCTCCCCCCCTCCATTAATAATCATGAGCAGGTGACGTCACTCCGCATCGAACAGCCCCCCACATTAATAATCATGAACAGGTGACGTCTTCCAAATGGACACCGCCCCACCATTAATATTCATTAGCGGGTGATGTCACTCCACATGGGGGGGGGGGCGAGGCGCCTCTTCCCCCCTCCTCAGCGTCAACTCACAACCTTCACTACAAAGGCAGAACTCTCACGTCACGCGATCTCCGTAACGCTGTTGAGACATAGAAGTAAAATGACGTCATGATGAACAAGGGATTATAACCTTTAAATTAAATAAGTCTCTGTCACCGCGGCCTTACAAATTGCACAACGAATTAATGCAATGAATATCACGTCGCGGTCTTTTTTACATACTCTTTGGTTCTATTCGGTAAAGTCACGTAGGTAAAAAATAAAACAACAAAAATCACGACGTTTCGGCCACAACACAAGTGGCCTTCATCAGGTGAAGGGGACCGTACTGTCACGAGGACAGCGTTGGAGTGAAGACAGTCCAGCCCAGGTCGCGTCCTTTTAAGCTGTGTGGGAGGAAACAAAACGCTTTGACAAAGGAATTAGCATAAAATGACCGTGATGCACAAGAGGACCGGCACGGAGGGGGGGAGGGGGTGTGAAGTGGAACGTAGAGGACCGGCACGGGGGGTGGAGTTTACAAATGTAGGTGTGAAGTGAAATAAGCATCTATGAAAGTTTGGTATATACCATTGAAAATTAGTTTAATGTTTGTAAACTCCCCCCCCCCCCGTGCCGGTCCTCTACGTTCTACTTCACACCCCCTCCCCCCCTCCGTGCCGGTCCTCTTGTGCTTTTCAGTCATTTTATGCTAATTCCTTTGTCAAAGCGTTTTGTTTCCTCCCACACAGCTTAAAAGGACGCGACCTGGGCTGGACTGTCTTCACTCCAACGCTGTCTTCGTGACAGTACGGTCCCCTTCACCTGATGAAGGCCACTTGTGTGGTGGCCGAAACGTCGTGATTTTTGTTGTTTTATTTTTTACCTACGTGACTTTACCGAATAGAACCAAAGAGTATGGATCATTGCAGTCACGAAAGCTTCAATTCTGGAATGGGTCTGATTTACGCTTGCAAGTTTCAGATTTACTGAAATACACCTGTCCTTGGACGGGCAAAAGGCGAGTATATATATTTCTCAACCCACTCTTTCTGGACACATGTGCCCGAGCTGTCAATCCCAGATCGATCTCTTCAGCCATCTTCGGACCCACAGAAAGTCCTACTTTTCTACTAGAAGACAATCATCCTCGACTGTGAGGGACAGCCCATGATGATGACACCGCTCGGGTCAACCCATCGGGGTCGGGAGAGTTGTTGACATGTAATGCGACCGCTGCCGTTGTCCGCGGCGGGGCCAGGTCCACGAAGCCCTTGGTGCTGAACCTCTGGCACACGGTGACGGTGTCGCGGACTGGGCGGAAGGGCTTCATGAAGATCAACAGTGACTCCAAGGTCCTGGGGGAGGCTCCCGTAAGGACACCTGTCGTCCGATGTTGACGCATGCACGCGCACACAGGGGCACACATGCTTGCACAGAGGCAAAGGTCCCCCGTGTGGCCTTTGTCTCCCCAGTGCTGATGTTTAGACACTGCAGCAGGTACCAATTTGAGGCTGAGTCAACCTTCGAGAGGCCCAGGAGCGGTTTAGGTAATCGTCACTGGTTTTGGCCGCGAGCGGGAATCGAACTCGGGCCACGGGGTTTGTACCTGCAGTGCGGTAACCACGACGCTACCGCTCGTCACAGACACGCGCGTGTGAGTGAGTGGACGAGTGACCAGGTGAGAGGGCGAGTGAGTTTGTTCTGACCTGCAGTGTGGTGGATGAACACAGTGTGGATAAGACAAGTCTGGTAGACCCTCACCGGAAAATGCTAATGAAATAATATATTTGAAAAATCGATTTGATAATGCTTTTTGTGAAAATCATTGCTGCGGGGTCTGAAAACTCATTGGGCGCTTTGGTGATGCAAAATTTCGAATGATTAAAAAATAATGCAGCGTGCAGGGTTGGTGGATCTCCCCGAGGTCATACCTGTGAGTCTTCCCCACCTACTACAGCACTAGGGAACTTACCTGTGGATGACAGAGTAGCAACTAGATTGCTGGCCCATGCGTATGAACTTCAGTGTTAAGGGTTGGTACAGTACCCTGCAGCATGCAAATAAAAAAAATAAGAATTGCCCAACTAACTCACAGCCAAAACATGCTTTTATTTTTGACTAGCTGGACTACCCGGCTTCGCCCGGGACTTGGATTCACCACGCCCGGCCGCCTTTGTCCCCCCAGTGGCAATGTTGACACAGCAGACCAGTTACTCGTTTGAGGCCGAGTCGACCTAGGGGAGGCCCAGGACCGGTTGTAATAATCGTCACCGGTGTTGGCCGTGAGCGGGAATCGAACTCGGGTCGCCGGGTTCGTAGCGCAACGCGCTAACCACTACACTACAATGCGTTACGCTTCCACATGCGCAGGTCACGTGACAGATTTGACGTCACAGCTCACTTGCCGTGCAAAAACATTATGCATTATTGAGCTCCCCCCCCCCCCCCCCCAAAAAAAAGTGTATTTTTATAATGTTTGCATGGTGTACAGTCTGGAAAGTACCCACATGGCAAATTTTCAGTTTGTTGCATGTCGGGAAGTACACTAAACATTTTGAACAGACACACACATTCACAACTTTGCCTTTTTTATATATATGGAGATAAAAGCACAAAAATTGCGTATGGCCGTTGAAGCCTCCACTAATTGACACGACGGACGGTCTTGACGCCCACACACTGGGGCAGAAACGAATGTTCACTTAACGTTGCCGTACCGATTGTCTCGTTCAACGCCCGCCTTGGATTTGAGAAATCGCGAAAGGTAACTTGCTCGATGTGCCGCTGCGCTGTGAAGTTGTCTCGAGATGCTTTGCGGGGTTTATTTGATAAGAGTCCGGGATACACACAAAATTGTGTTTAATGGCTGATATTCATAATCGTACAGTCAAAATACGTACAGTATTGATCACGTATTGTGTATATTTGCAAGAGTAAAAACAAACCAGTAATTTCCTACTCAAATGAGTATTGTTGGAAGTGGTGCCTTTCTCCTGTTTGCAACCCTGCAGAGCCAGTGGTGGAAATTCGACTTTCCTATGGTGGGGATGAGTCTCGCTATTGATAAGCACTTTTTTGACTTGCCCAAAAAGTGATTCTGAGTTTATTGAGCTCGCTTACTCACCTGCTCGCTCACCCACCCACTCACTGAATCACCCACTCGTTCGCTCACTCACTCACCCACTTGCTTGCCCACTCACTCACACGTGCACTCACCTGCTCGCTCACCCACCCACTCACTGAATCACCCACTCGTTCACTCACTCACTCACCCACTTGCTTGCCCACTCACTCACACGTTCACTCACCTGCTCGCTCACCCACCCACTCACTGAATCACCCACTCGTTCGCTCACTCACTCACCCACTTGCTTGCCCACTCACTCACACGTGCACTCACCTGCTCGCTCACCCACCCACTCACTGAATCACCCACTCGTTCACTCACTCACCCACTTGCTTGCCCACTCACTCACACATGCACTCACCAGCTCGCTCACCCACCCACTCACTGAATCACCCACTCGTTCACTCACTCACTCACTCACCCACTTGCTTGCCCACTCACTCACTCACACGTTCACTCACCTGCTCGCTCACCCACCCACTCACTGAATCACCCACTCGTTCCCTCACTCACTCACCCACTTGCTTGCCCACTCACTCACACGTTCACTCACCTGCTCGCTCACCCACCCACTCACTGAATCACCCACTCGTTCGCTCACTCACTCACCCACTTGCTTGCCCACTCACTCACACGTTCACTCACTTTCTCACTCACCCACCCACTCACGGAATCACCCACTCGTTCGCTCACTCACCCAACCACTCACTCATTGGCTCACCCATTCGCTCGTTCACTCGCTCACTCACTCACTCATTGACTCACCCATTTACTCGCTTACTCACTCATTGACTCACCCATTCACTCGCTCACTCACTCATTGACTCACCCATTTACTCGCTCACTCACTCATTGACTCACCCATTCACTCGCTCACTCACTCATTGACTCACCCGTTCGCTCACTCACTTATTGACTCACCCATTCACTCGCTCACTCACTCATTGACTCACCCATTCACTCGCTCACTCATTGACTCACCCATTCACTCGCTCACTCATTGACTCACCCATTCACTCGCTCGCTCACTCACTGACTCACCAATTCACTCGCTCACTCATTGACTCACCCATTCACTCGCTCACTCACTCATTGACTCACCCATTCACTCGCTCGCTCACTCATTGACTCACCCATTCACTCGCTCACTTACTCATTGACTCACCCATTCGCTCACTCACACACTCACTGACTCACTCATTTACTCGCTCACACGCTCACTCACTCATTGGCTCACCCATTCGCTCGCTCACTCACTCATTGGCTCACCCATTCGCTCGCTCACTCACTCATTGAGTCACCCATTCACTCGCTCACTCGCCCGACCGCCCGTGCTTTGCCTCTCCAGGGGAACCATCTGAGCCTGGACCTGCGGGGGGCGCTTTTCCTGGGCGGCGTTCCGGACTACACCCGCACCGCGCGAGCCGCCGCCATCACCTCCGGCCTGGACGGGGCCATCCAGAAGGTGTCCACCTTGGCCCTGCCCCTTCTATGTCAGGGCGCATGCGTCCACCTGCTGCGGCCCAAGAATAAATAAATATGACAATAAAGAAATCAACGGACAGATACGCAGTTTCGTCACACGCGCTGTCTTCGTCATGGAGAAACCGCAGTCCGGCGGGAAGGCGGCCAGTACCGGCGCCAAACAATTGCCCAAGCTCTGTGGCCCTACGTTGGAATGTTCCGCCAACTCCATTCATGGCCGTTTATAGACGTGGGAGGAAAGTGGAGTACCCGGGGGAAAAAAAACCCACGCCAAAAAACAATTGCGAGGTGCCAACACTCCCTCCCCGTACAGATGGAATACAGATAGAAATCAATCCACTTGCTGTACTGCTATCATACCGTGCCAAGCCAGGAGACTGTTACCTCGCAGCCCAGCGGGTTTGGGGGTTTCACAAATGTGCGTGCGATCCGCCAACCCTCCCGCACCACCTCTACAGCGCTGGATTACAGGCCACGTGCAACCGAAGCCACCGGCGCTTCGTGCTCCGAACGTGGTCACGCTAACCATGATAACGACCGCGCGTCACTTTTTAAGCGTCCGAAATGTGCGTCCGAAAATTGTGGAATTTGCCGTCGATTGTTCTCCGTCTCACTCGGCGCCGACTCGTCAATGCCGCCCGCTTCACTTATACGCGAGTTCCGTCTGCTCCCGTTATCTTAAGCGTCACGTTAGCAGCTCCGTTTTCCACGCGCAGTTTGCGTCCGTCATCGTAAACGATCGCTTTCTCACGGCGGGCACGCGCGTGGCATCGGAGCGTGGTACGCGAAAGCCCGAAGATGGGCTTGTTTGAAACCACGAACGCTCTCGCGGGTCTGAATGTTTCTCCCGGCCTCCCCTGACCACGCAGTTCTCGGTGAGCGGTTTTAACGTGCTGTTGGACGTGGTGAGCTCGCGCTTCTTGCTGGATGTCACCACGTTCAGGGAACACCCGTGCACCTCCGGCCATAAATATTGCCAGAACGGAGGGACGTGTGTGCCCGACCGCTTCCGCTACGACTGCAGCTGCCCCCGCGGCTTCTCCGGCAGGAGATGCGAGACAGGTGAAGCCCTCTGTCCGTCCGGAACTGTCCATCTATTTGCCTTCCCTCTCTGTCTGTGTGTGAGTGTACTATCTGTCTCTCTTCTTGTTTGTCTGTCTGTCTATACGTTTGTCTGTTGATCTGTTAATATGTCTGACTGTCTCTCTTTTTGCCTTCCTATCTATTAATTATCTGGCGCAATGTGTGAACATCACCATTGGGTAGACATACAAAGACAGCCGCGCGTGGTGCTGGCCACCCACCCCAACATGTGCCGTGCCTGGCCTTCAGGCACTCGCTAACTGCACTTGCCCCAACAGTCTGTTAAAGGCTATATGGGGGATCTTTGTCTATGTTGCAGCCCCCACCGATCGCGCTGCAGTAGCTTTGGACGAGGCCGTGGCTTTCAATGGGAAAACCTTCATCGAATATCAAAGCACCAACGCCAAAAGGTATAACCGTCTCCACGCATCCTACACTACCGATAAACACTCGTGAATAGAATTGGCCAAACATCCCAGTATCGGACCGCAGACCTTGGGCGATTGTCGGCACCGGTTCCGGCTGTGTTCCCACCGTGGTTTTGCTGAGCCCCTGTTACAAATTCTACGGCGGCTTGAGAGGAATTTACGCTGGTTGAAAATCATGAAGAATTTACTGTCATGGTAGCATCTACATACTAATTGTTATACAGCACTTTCATGTTAAGGGTGTACATGTCCCTGTCATGGGGAATGTTGAATCTTAATTTACAGCCGTGAGTATACTCTTTGGTTCTATTCGGTAAAGTCACGTAGGTAAAAAATAAAACAACAAAAATCACGACGTTTCGGCCACAACACAAGTAGCCTTCTTCAGGTGAAGGAACAGAACTGTCGGGACGACAGAGCTTCAATGAACGCTAAGATTTGTAGCGTCTTTTAAGCTGGGTGAGAGAAGTGAGAGAAAAGACGCTACGAATCTTAGAAGTGTTCATTGAAGCTCTGTCGTCCGGACAGTTCTGTTCCTTCACCTGAAGAAGGCTACTTGTGTTGTGGCCGAAACGTCGTGATTTTTGTTGTTTTATTTTTTACCTACGTGACTTTACCGAATAGAACCAAAGAGTATGGATCCTTGCAGTCACGAAAGCTTTAAATCTAGAGCCGTGAGTATCTCCAAACTCCAGTTTTGCTTGCGACTGAATACAAATATGTGCACTCTCGTACAACAACAATAACAACCGCCATTCGCCACTAAGCGGCGGTGACATCACCACGGCGCCTGTGCCAGGTTATGTGCACGTTAAGGCCACTCTCGTACACACACACCGCGTCATCCCGCTAACATGTTACATGCAACGTGTTATGTCACGTGCAACGTGTTCGTGGTGTTTATGTTTACTGCAAACTACATTTATGCATATTCTTAGCTCTTTCGCTAAAGTCACATTAAAGGGAAACACCTGACGATGACCGTTTGTGTTATGGTCGAAACGTCGTGAGAATTTTTTATTGTTTTCTATATATTTTATTATTTTATTGTTTCCCTTTAACGTGACTTTACCGAAAGAGCTAAGAATATGAATTACTGCAGTCACGAAAGCTTTAAATCAAAATTTACATTTATGCACTCATCTGCACAGGACATCGTTTTTTTTATCCACGTTAAAAAAGGACGGCGATCTTTCGGCGCGTCTTTGTGACTCGACTGATGCGACACACGTTCTCTGGGCTCGTCATCGGCGCAGGATTTGTCAAACTGGTGGCACCGCGTGGGGGCCACCAGTTTGGGCCACGAAAGCTCTTGGAGATAGCCACCGAGCAGTTTGCCCCGGTGGCACTTAAAAGATATTACAGATTAGTGCGACGATATCGAGATGAGAATAATAATACAATCAGTACAACGATATAGATGTGAGAAAGACGTGTTGACATGTGCAGATCGGGGAGATAAAAATAAAGAATTGTAAGGTTGCACTCATCACACACAAAGTGCTTGCCACAAAGTGAACCACGATAACTCGCTGAGCTCGTCAAGGGGCATAAACCATCACGCGAACTCCGGTCGTCCTCACAGCGGCTTATGACTCGCCATCGAACGAAGACAGTCACCGCATCGCACACTTTCAGATGCACTTCTGGGGCCGTCTAGAACGCTTCTCCTTCCGATATTAGGAACTCACTTTGAAATCTAGATTGAAAACTCATTTCTTTAGAACAGCTTTTTGTTCAGTTTGTTGTCCTTCCCCCGCAACCTCCGATGAGCATGGCTGATTACGTAAGGTACGAAAGAAGTTCCACATACATACGAACCAGAGCTAGCGATGAGAGACCTGGAGACAAGATAGTATAGTTTCGATTTAAAGCTTTCGTGACTGCAAGGATTCATCTTCTTTGGTTCTTTCGGTAAAGTCACGTAGAATGAGAATAAAATAATAAATTGATCAAATAAAATAACAATAAAATTCTCACGACGTTTCGGCCACAACACAAGCGGCCTTCATCAGGTGAAGGGACGAGACTGTCTGGAGGACAGCGCTGGAGCGAACACAGCCAAGCTCAGACCGTGGCCTTTAAGCTGTGTGAGAAGAAACAGAGCACCTTGACAAAGGAATTAGCATAGAATTTAGCATTGAAATAGCTGAGTGATTAGCTTGTGACTGGTCACAGAAATGGCTATGTTAAAGTCAAAGCATACACATCCACAGAGGCACCCCTTGACAAAGGAATTAGCATAGAATTTAGCATTGAAATAGCTGAGTGATTAGTTTGTGACTGGTCACAGAAATGGCTATGTTAAAGTCAAAGCATACATGACTTAGTACTTGGTGGCAAAACCCTTGTTGGCAATCACAGAGTTCAGACGTTTCTTGTAGTTGGCCACCAGGTTTGCACACATCTCAGGAGGGATTTTGTCCCACTCCTCTTTGCAGATCTTCTCCAAGTCATTAAGGTTTCAAGGCTGAGGTTTGGCAACTCGAACCTTCAGCTCCCTCCACAGATTTTCTATAGGATTAAGGTCGGGAGACTGGCTAGGCCACTCCAAGACCTTAATGTGCTTCTTCTTGAGCCACTCCTTTGTTGCCTTGGCCGTGTGTTTTGGGTCATTGTCATGCTGGAATACCCATCCACGACCCATTTTCAATGCCCTGACTGAGAGAAGGAGGTTCTCACCCAAGATTTGACGGTGCATGGCCCCGTCCATCGTCCCTTTGATGCGGTGAAGTTGTCCTGTCCCCTTAGCAGAAAAACACCCCCAAAGCATAATGTTTCCACCTCCATGTTTGACGGTGGGGATGGTGTTCTTGGGGTCATAGGCAGCATTCCTCCTCCTCCAAACACAGCTAGTTGAGTTGATGCCAAAGAGCTCCATTTTGGTCTCATCTGACCACAACACTTTCACCCAGTTGTCCTCTGAATCATTCAGATGTTCATTGGCAAACTTCAGACGGGCATGTATATGTGCTTTCTTGAGCAGGGGGACCTTGTGGGTGCTGCAGGATTTCAGTCCTTCACGGCGTAGTGTGTTACCAATTGTTTTCTTGGTGACTATGGTCCCAGCTGCCTTGAGATCATTGACAAGATCCTCCCGTGTAGTTCTGGGCTGATTCCTCACCGTTCTCATGATCATTGCAACTCCACGAGGTGAGATCTTGCATGGAGCCCCAGGCCAAGGGAGATTGACAGTTCTTTTGTGTTTCTTCCATTTGCGAATAATCGCACCAACTGTTGTCACCTGCTCACCAAGCTGCTTGGCAATGGTTTTGTAGCCCATTCCAGCCTTGTGTAGGTCTACAATCTTATCCCTGACATCCTTGGAGAGCTCTTTGATCTTGTCCATGGTGGAGAGTTGGGAATCTGATTGATTGGTTACTTCTGTGGACAGGTGTCTTTTATACAGGTAACAAGCTGAGATTAGGAGCACTCCCTTTAAGAGTGTGCTCCTAATCTCAGCTCGTTACCTGTATAAAAGACACCTGGGAGCCAGAAATCTTTCTGATTGAGAGGGGGTCAAATACTTATTTCCCTCATTAAAATGCCAATCAATTTATAACATTTTTGACATGCGTTTTTCTGGATTTTCTTGTTGTTATTCTGTCTCTCACTGTTCAAATAAACCTACCATTAAAATTGTAGACTGATCATTTATTTGTCAGTGGGCAAACGTACAAAATCAGCAGGGGATCAAATACTTTTTTCCCTCACTGTAAATGCAGTGCTACAGTGACATGAAGTGAGATGTTTCATGACGTAATTTTGTGCAGTAATCACTGCCATTAATACAGCACAAGAGATTCACGCAAAATATCATATACCGAGGTTTTAATTTTTTTAAGTTAAGAAAAAACTATTTACGTGCAACAATTCCTATAAATATTTATAATCACACAAGAAAACGTGAATGTGCATCTTCAATTTAACGTCAGTTAAGTACAGTGCTGCAGTGAAATGCAGTGTAGTGTTTGATGACATTCTCTCGTGCAAGATTCACTGCCATTAAATTTACACAAGATACTATTATTACTCGGCTCAATTTTTTCGTAAATATTACAGCTTCCGTCCTAGGACGGGCAAAAGGCTAGTTTAGATATAATTATTATCATTATTTACACTCGTACACCCAGCAAAACACGTTTATCGCTAGATGTGCTACAGGCTACACGGGAGCGCAATTTTATATTTGGTGCCACTCCATCTGTTTTTTTTTTATTGAGGGACTGTGACATTGTCTTGGTGTGGTCTGGGACCATCCTTGCTCGTTGTTTTGCTGCCTTGCCCGAGTTTGGAAATTGGTGTACTTATGTAATTTTGTCTGGTGTACTTCCTACGCTTTACGCATGTTTTTAGCGATTTGCTTACATTTCCTATACTTTGCACTGCTATCGTATTTTTGCGTCGTTTTGTTGTTGTTGTTGTTGTAACTTTATGAGTTGCCCCCGACTAGACATCTGCGAAAAAGAGATTCCATAGCTCGTTGGATTCCTCCTCCAGTCTAAAAAGGAAGATTCTGATTTTAATATCAAAAGCACTCGGCCCACCCAGGGTTCTTACCACTCTCCTGCGGAAAATAAACGGTCGGGCCTATCACCTGACCCGGTAATGATATTGCCCCGTTGTCTCTTTCTCCGCACGCAAGCCACGCGATGAACGAGGTCCCCGAGTGAGTATCCCTCACCATCGCCGACTCACGCCAACGCACGCGTGCCCGCGCGCACGCACGACAAAGCGCGGTTTTGCTCATCGCGGAATTCTCAGTTCCGTGGCTCAAAGAAACTCGGTAAAGTCATCACGTAGGTAGAAAAAATAATAGATCACGACGTTTCGATCGCAACACAAGCAATCGTCGTCAGCAGTTTTCTTGCCGTGGTTGTTTCACCTGATGACGAGTGCTTGTGTTGCGATCGAAACGTCGTGATCTATTCTTTTTTCTACCTACGTGTGATGACTTTTCCGAAAGTACCACAGAGGAGAGAGAAATTATTCCGGAGCGATGAGCATGAGCAAGCTGGGCGCGTACGTAACAACATCCACATCACAGCAACACGTGTTGGGATAAAGCTACCAAATGGGCGCCGGGGTGGCGAGATGTTATCTCTCTCTCTCTCTCTCGACCCTGACGCCTGTGATATGTAGAGTTTGCGCTCTCTCCGTGGCTGCGCGGATTTTTTCTCCGGGTCCTCCGGTTTTCCCCTCCACATTTAGAATCAACGTGCGTTCAGAGTATTTGGCTGCTCTAAATTTCCAAACGAAAAGCCATTTTGTTGAGGCTATAATATGTGGCCAGGTCGCTTCTGAAAAAGAGCGTTATATAGCTCAGTGGGCCTTACCTGGTAAAGTAAAAACTAATTTTAGTTTAATAAGTTTAGTTTTCTTCGGCTTCATCGGAATTCAGTTCCTGAAGAAGCTCCCAGCACGCGGGGCGAAACGTCGGAACAATACGGCGGGCGGCACGTGGCACGACCGGCAGACGCATCAGAGAGCCGGACAAGCCTCGCTTGTCCGGCTCTCTGATGCATCACGAAAGCTTCAAATCAATAATTTCTCTCTTTCCTCTTAAGTCTCGATTTCACGGACTATGCAGCAGACCAGAGGTGAGTTAGCTCCCCACCTTGGCGCCCGTCCCATTCGCATGACCGTGTCATTTCCTGTCACCACCGCTGTCATCATAATCATCATCCGCCATCATCACCGCCGTCATCTACTTTGATTTCAACCAACAAAAGCACCGCATGCGATGAATGCATGCGGTTTGTGTCGTTTATAGTTGGACTTTCCCTCCGAAAGTGACTGGTAACAAGGCAGCCAGTCGGGCTGGTTCCAGACGTTTCCCCCCACTGTGAAAATGTCAGTCTGGTGGACTGAGCCCTGAACATGCGTGGAGGAATCGACGAATGAAGTTGATGGTAACCATGGTAATAGCACCAGAATAGTTATAAGGAAGTGACTGACCACTAGTGAGTGACCAAAGTAAATCGGCGAGTGCTGGGTCATCAATCAACCCTGATTGCTGTTGGTCGAAATGTGTTAATGTTTGGCCATTTCCGTACCAACGGAAACCTCCACAAAAACAGCCACAGTTTTGACGAACTCCTTTTCACGAATAAATTCGTGAACGCGATTCAAAACTCAATCCCCCCCCCCCCCCCCCCCATGCATGAACCCCCTTCCTCCAGTGACAAGGCCCAGAAATCAAACTACTTCGAGATGAGCGTGCGTACGGACGCGACGCAAGGCCTCATCCTGTGGGTGGGGAAGGGGACGGAGCGCGCCGACTATCTGGCCATCGCCATCGTCAATGGCTACATCCAGATGACCTACGACCTGGGCTCGCGATCCGTGACCCTCACCTCCACCGTCATGGTGAACACCAGCAGATGGGTGCGGATCAAGGCCGTCAGGTATTGTGATTTGATCCGGGTTCACGTGTGGTCCTTTTTTTTGGGGGGGGGGGGGGGGCTTCTTTATCATTTTGTGTTCCTTTCTCGGGCGCATTCCGATCGCGAAGTCGGCGCCGACATCACGAGACCAGCAATTGTCGGTGGCGCCGGCTCGCCGACCGGCAGCCCTCCAGCTCGTGTCTGTGGTTCCTGCTCGCCGATCGTGATGCACAAATGGAAAAATGAAAACCCTCCGGTAGTGTGTGATTGTGGTCGTCCGGAACAGACCGTACAACGTATAACCACGCAATCCCCCGATCCGCAAATACGAAAGGAACATCGCGGCGATTCACTCCGCTGCTCCTGACGCGGTTGTCTGGTTTGACCACCTGAATGTGAAATTGTAGTTGTTGCTCTGCGTCGGCATCAGAAGCCCTACGATAGAAGAGATGTGATTGTGAGAGATGCCATTTGCACGATTGACGATGACAAGGCTGTATGAAATTAATCAAGGGGCTATTATCATAATTGTTCATTATTACTGGTTATCTTTTCTGATGAGTTTCCTGTGCGTACGCGGGGCAGGGACAAGCGTGAGGGCTCCCTGCAGGTGGACAACGAGGCGGCGGTGATGGCCACGTCGCCGTTCAAAGCCACGCTGCTCGACACGGACGGCACCTTTTGGCTGGGTGAGTGCGCAGCACGCACCATGAATAGCCTAAGGACGGTGATGCCTCCGAAGCTAAACTAAAACCAAACTTTTTATTTTACTAGGTAAGGCCCATTGAGCTATGTAGTTCCTTTCCAGAAGCGACCTGGCCGCAAACGATAGCTTAATAAAGTGGCTTATCTCGTGGAAATGTATAGCAGCCAAATGCTCAAAACGCACGTTGATTCTGAATGCGAAATGAAAAACTGGAGAACCCGGTGAAAAATCCATGCCACCACGGGGGAGAGAGGCACACAAACTCCAAATATACAGCAAGCATCATGGTAGGGATCCAACCCACGATCTGTTACATACCAGTCGAGGTAGTTAACATCTCGCCTCCTGGTTCTACGGCCGCCTTAACTTCATGTCGAACTGATTGAAATTACAAGCGGGTATAACGTCGTGAACGTTTGGTTTCGGCGTGTAACAAATGTACCTCCCTTTTGACGTTCAAGGATCTGTCTGTGATTCACGGTCGTGATCTGATTTGAAAATCGAGCTGATTTCTTTCCTGGGCATTGTAGTAAATGCCGACTCTCGCTGTGACCGGCGTGGCAGAAAAAAAACAACCCCCACCCCATGTGCGCCCCCACGAGAAGTGAGCATGCCTAGATCAAGCGGGTACCTTGACAAAGGGCTTCAAATTATTCGTAATGCTTTACTAGAACTAAGAATATTTGGTGGGAGTGGGTGATTCCCGACCCATGGCCGAAATCAGCAGGCGAGTGGTACCTGATTGGGTCCTGGGCGCTCACCGTTTCACCAACCCACACGAACCAGCGTGAAGTATGGTCAAAATAACCTGCATGGCATGGGCCCTCATAAATGATCACTAACGTACTGATGCTTACTTAATAATAAAGAAGTTCATTGATAATAATTATTAATTCCACGACCCACCGACGCAGGCGGCATGAGGAAGCCTCCCCAGAACCTGCGTCTGCCCAAGGCCTACAGCACAGGCTTCGTGGGCTGCATCCGCGACATGGTGGTCGACCTCAAGGAGCTGCACATCGAGGCGGACGCCGTCAACAAGCCCAAGATCTCGCACTGCACGGGGAAGTGAGCAACCGCCGTCCACGGACTGCCACCTCCGCCGCTACCACCGCCATTGCCACCGCGGTCACCAGGGCGCCGCGCCGTTCCTCGGCGCCTCGACCTCACGAAGCTTCGTCCCCCGCCGTTGATTCCGATGCGACTCTCGCTCGAACCGATGCCGAGCTTGACGCGACGGTTTTGACGGGCAAGGGAGAGGACGGGGGAGGCGGCGCGGCCGTGAAAGAGCTTGCGCTTTTGTCGTGCGTTCGTTTGAAAGCATCGTCACGTCGCGTCGGAGCGGCCACCGAGGCGATTCGCGCAGCCCTGCGGTTGTTGTGGCCCGTTTGCAGGGCGGCTTTTTCTTGGGGTTCACCAACACGTGAGCCGTGGTTTTTTGCGACGCGCCGTGACTTCCGCTGTCGGTTAATGTTTTCTTCGTGGGGAAATAGGAGGGAGGACACTACAGATGTATGTGCAGCTTTAAGGGAGCCTCTTGGCTTCAAGGCTTGCGGCAAAGTTACCGCTTGAACCGAAACGAGTGAATATATGGTATTTTATTAAATGCGTCTGCAAGGTTTGGTCATGTTCAGACAGGTTATTATATTAATAAATAAAAAATATAATGACTCATAATTACAGTATTGTGTAATCGGCAATTGATATAAGTGTTATCAAAGTTTTAATGTTTAACATCGTAGTCGACATTTATTTTTATCATCATTGTGATGAAAAAAATTCCACTGCGTAAAGTCACCGATCTTTTCCAAAGGCTATCGTACCATTTTGTGACGTTTAGAAATGTAATTTGGCACTTTAAAGAGAAAACATTGGTTTAAAATAACTGTCCAACTTTAACTTGTGCAGGTCGCCTCGGAATGTTGTGCTTTATTTGCACTTGAAATACTAAATGTCTTCAAATTCGTTTTTCGTTGTGGAATAATGTGGTGACTTAATTTTATTCATTCTTTTTTTTACATTATCCATCGTCAACCTCTTACTTAGATTGCTTTAAAAGTGGTCCTGAGATGCGGTCGCATTTTGACGCCAGGCCAATCCAAATTTTATTGCAAATTGTATTGTATAGTATCAGTGATGGTGGCGCTATTTCCTTTGGGCAGCTTCACTTTGGAGGCCTATCGTTCACATTTGAGAGAAGAATCGGTGCTGCTCATATCGACTAAAGGTCTCATGGCGCGAGGTCCTTTACCTCAACTAAACTATAAACTAAAACTGTTTTTTTATTTTATCAGGTAAGGCCCACTGAGCTATATAGCTGTTTTTCAGAAGCGACCTGGCTACGTGGAAAATTATATCAGCCAAATACTCGAAACGCATGTATCTTGAATGTGGAGGGAAAAACCGGAGAACGCGGAGAAAAATCCACATGACCACGGGGAGAACATGCAAACTCCAAATATAAAGGCATCATGGTCAAGATCGAATCTACGATCTCCTGTATGCCAGGCAAGGAAGTTAACATCTCGCCACCGCAGTGCCCATTGATCAGTCCAATAGCAGCTAAACCATCACCGCTTGAGTTATCCACATTCTCTGTTCTCCAAGTATAGTGCTCTGTTTTCCTCGGCCAAATAGGCCGCTGCCGTGTGTCTTCGATGTATGTTTGGCCACTTACATTTGGCAGGACTTGCTGGACCTCCGTTCATGATCCTCTGTGGCCGCAGGTGGAAATGCATCAAACCTAAATTGCAGTAAGATGTTCTTTGTGACTTGGAACCCAGGAAGGGGAGGATACTAGTGCTTTGAGAGAGACATTTAAGAGAGACGTGACCTGACGAATTTGCCGGGTGACATTAAACGCTACCAAAACATTGGGAGATTTGTGGAAACTGATAAATGCTGGAAAAAGAAAATGACTGGGCCAAACTCACTGTGCTTATTCTGTTACACGCGCTTTGTTACCCATAAACCGCTCGGCGGGTGTGTTTGTCACTTAAACATTCACTGCCTTTGTGGGTGAAACAAACCTTCATGGATACCAAACTTGGATGCAACGAAAAATCACAATACATCCTCTATTATAAACCTTTAAATCGAAAAGCGAAAGTATTCAAGAATATTTAAGTATTGTTGTGGATTTGCTCTCCAACACACCAGTGTGCTGCACTAGAAACGAATTGGCATGTTCTGTTTACATGACAAATCTTACTAATTGGCTGTGTCGGGTGGTGGCGGGTTTAACGACACATATTTTACATGATCTAACCCCAAAAAAACTATTATTGATTATATTGGTCGCGAAAGCCCACAACGTGTTAAACTAGCTTGTACAAATTCTTTGGGTCTTTCGGTAAAGTCACGTAGATAGGTTCGTTGTTTTTTTGTTATTTTCTTTGAACCTATCTACGTGACTTTACCGAAAGACCCAAATAATATAAATTCCTGCAGTCACGAAAGCTTTAAGTCAAGATTTAGCTTGTACAAGTGAAAATTCAAAGAACGCCCGGCATACAATTGCGGAAACACCGCCTAAGACCGTCGACCACACGTTAAACCAACGTGACATTCAGCGGAGGCATTCAAGCAATCTTAAGCCATTTCCGAACTAATCTGGGCAGTGCAGCAAGCGGGTTCCTGACAGCATAGTTTAAGCGTCTCCGTGTGTAGCTTTTTTTACCCATGAACACGAATTTCCTCCCGAGTGCGAAAAAAAAGCCAACGTCAAATAGACCCGGCAATAATATTTCCAGACAATAATCTTTGAGGCTCATTCCTGTGTAAGATGAGAAAAAAAATCGTTCGATTATAGTACGCATCAACATCGTGCCGGCAGATTGTTTAATCTCGCCCATACTTTGTTCAGACACAAAGATGCGTCACGCAACATTTATTTTTATTCCCTCCTTGCCCTGCTCAAACTCCCTCCCATCATCTCATTTCCGAATTTTGTATAGCCTTGCTCGTTGCAACAAACGTGCTTCATTCTTATCTGTATGATTATCCTTCTGAGTTTTAGTTGCCTTGTCTGTTGCCGTGTTGTCAGGACTTTGGGTCTGTGCTCAGCCAACTGCGAAGGAGAGCAAGTCAAAATAACGAGCGGTGTGTTGTAGACACGCATAGGCTGCGTATCTTGAGCCGTCCGACGTGAGTTGCAACTAGAAAAGGGTGCATCGTTGTTTTTCGTGAAAAGCGAACAATGAAAATTATTTCCATGTTATATTGAATGTGGTTTAATTTTGATTGAGTATAAATGCCATTTTTCATGCTTGCATTACAGTATATTTATTTTTTTAACTTTTTGTATATGATTTTTTTAATTGATGCTTTAAATTAACTTTAAATGGACCAGAGAACTCACCTTTGGGGGGGGGGGGGCTTTGGCCAGCCTAAAGAATGCCCTTCAAAGTTCACAGGTCAAGAATATAGACGCTGGTGTGCGGGTATAACAAGATACTTTTTTTTAAAAGAAATACATCTACGTATTCATTTATGTACGCAGATATAAATATTACATTAACGTCATAGGTCAACACCCGCACTGTATCTGTGGTGTGAAAGGTGTGCGTTTGCCACCAATGGATTGGTAGAGTGCCCTGTCTAATGAGTAACGACGTGGTACAGAATGGTTCGCAGAGGCGGTTTGAATACGGAGAAGTTGCTCCCTGTGATGGGCAAAGTGGCATGGACTGTTCGGACTGTTGAGACCTTGTTTTAAAACAACTACAACAAAAACGAATTAAATTAATGCGACTCGTTGCAAGCGTTCGTATACCAATTTAGCTTGCATGGAGCACGTTGACAGGTCAGACTGCAGGTCTATGTGACCAGCAGTCAGAGTAAACGCCACGAATGTTGGTGTAGGAGATTGGAATTTTTTGGCCCAAGTAACAAGCATCATTTTGTAGGCGACACTTTTTTTGTTGGGATGGGTGCCGACGGTGCTGTCTTGCACCGCTGTAAACCAGCAACTTGAATCCGAGGTTCGTGGGATCGCACAAAAATTGGAACCGTGACTCTAGTGGGATGCTAACCCGCAGGGAAGAAAAGACACGGGTGGTAACAGCAAGTAGGTTGCCAGCAGGCTACTTTTGTCGAGTAGAGTTAAAATGATCTTCCCAGTGGCTCTAAAATTTCTGCGCACGCGCGAGAACTCGGAAAAAGGAATTGGTTAAACTTGACTTTTAAAAATAGACTTCAAGCTTACTGAGTGAATAATGGATCACCCATCGTGGAAAATGCGATACACGCGGATTATAAAATCATTAACTTTACCGATGCCAGTGTGTAAGAATTAATTTAATACACGGCGATGATAGTTTTGTTGGTGTTCGTTTGTTGTTGTCATTTGAGGACACGGTGCGACATTTAGGCTTGAATTAGTAACTAACCCTTAGGAGTGGGGGTTCTTTCCGCTTGGTGAAATTGTGTACAAACCTTCTCCGTGCATGATTAATGAATGTGTAAATGTTCCGCTGTACGAGCGAGCCCATTGGGCCATTGGGCTCGCTGTGTGCGCGTGTATGTGGAGGAGGCATTCGTGAATACAGAAGGACCTTTCCATAACATATAGGCCCTCTATTGTGTCCGGTCTACCTGTGGTTTTTGTTGTCTCAAACGTGTCTCTGGTTTTTTTGTAATACAATATGCGATTGTATATTATATATCCCTCGGAGTTATGTGCGAGAAATTAAATGTTTTTTTTTATCTTCACAATTCCGTATGTAGCGCATCCGATTAGCACGGTTGACTACGTACGGTGTGTAAGAATTTCAACATACATACAAAACTAAAACTTAAATTTCGAAGGCGAATTACAACAGAGAGTTCGGCATCCATTTTGGGTGGTGGTGGTGGTGGCCGTGGTAAAAGAGTCAAGGGAAGGAATTAAATAGACAAGAGGGGCCCCCAACACGATAACAACCCCCCGCACCCCTCTACAGGAATCTGAAATTTCTGCCACTGGTTCGAGTCAACGAACCCCGACGTGCATCGCCCCATATTTTCACGCTAGCAGGAAGGACGGCAATTTAACATTGTAGTCGTGATGTACGCGTGCCCTTTTTGAATTATTAAGCGGTCCCTTTGAGTTGTAGATTGCACCACACAGGGTTCTATAAATACGCGACCGGGTCTCATGGGGCCGATGGGGTCGGTGGGGATGGCCGGGGTCACCGTAAGAGGCATTTAATTTAAAGAGCGCCCTTGCAATCGATCTCGTGGCCACGATCGAAAGGCTGCACCAGCTACTGCCAAGCTAAACTTGTCGCGCCAGACTGAAAGGGCAAAGGTTAAGTGCCTCGTCCAGAGAGGGAGCTGGCGCAGTCCATTGTGTCTGAGTGACTTAAATTCTCAGCGAATGAAATTATGTTTCGTCTTAAATCATTAATGTTTATCATTCATGCGAACACCTGGGAATTCCCCGGGAAGAGCTCGAGTCTGTAGCTATGACCCTCACCAGGACAAGCGGACTGAGAAACGAACGAACGGAATGAAAAATTACCGTTGCGTAAAGGAATATGACACCCTAAAAACAAAAATGCTTATCTTGTAGATATGAGCTGGCAGAGGTTTTTTTTAGCTTGGTTTAGGGTAAAACAGTTTAATTATAATATTCGGCACGAGTTGGATAACATAATACATGTAGAGGGCAGTACGTACAGCAAGTCGGTTTATGTACAGGAAACTGTGAGCGTTATTTCTTGCTCCACGCATCAAGTCATGGTGATGAAGAATCCTATCGGAATTATTTCAGACCGGTGCATCCACCACGTGTTAGAAGACAGCTCGTGGAAGGAGATATCCCAGAACTACAGGTGACCTGGCGAGATGTTAACTACCTCGCCTGGTATACAGGAGGTTGTTGGCTCGATCTCGACCCTGATGCCTGTATATTTGGAGTTTGCATGTTCTCCCCGTGGTCGCGTTGATTTTTTTTTATGGGCGCTCCGGTTTTTCCCTCTACGTTTAGAATCAACGTCACGCGTTTAAAGTATTTGGCTGCTACTCTTAGTTTTTTTCGGTAAAGTCACGTATAAATAAGAAATAATAAAATAACATAATAGCGTACGACGTTTCGGTTGCAACACAAGCAGCCATCATCAGGTACAGAAGAGCTAAATTTGGGAGAGAGGGGAAACACATAACCTCAGATGTATATACAGACACCCAAGTAGGGGGAACTAACACAGATACAACAGGGGACACAAAGAGAGAAGCATACCAGACAAACAGGGTTTAGCATGGATGCCTGTGTGTGTGTGTGGTCTGTATTTTGAGTTTCATACTTAACTTGCAATTTAGCAATCTTTGAAATAACGTGGTCAACCGGACTACGCGTTAATTGTGTTTTGACCGACCGTCTGTGTTGCTTTACATGGTTCCAAAAATTTTGCTAAACCCTGTTTGTCTGGTGTGCTTCTCTCTCTGTGTCCCCTGTTGTATCTGTGTCAGTTACCCCTACTTGGGTGTCTGTATATACATCTGAGGTTATGTGTTTCCCCTCTCTCCCAAATTTAGCTCTTCTGTACCTGATGATGGCTACTTGTGTTGCAACCGAAACGTCGTACGTTATTATTTTATTTTATTATTTCTTATTTATTTGTGACTTTACCAAAAAATCAAAGAGTAATGCCTGCAGTCACGAAAGCTTCAAATCAAGTCTATTTGGCTGCTATAAATTTCCACATGATGATAAGCCACTTCGTTGAGGGATCATTTGTGGTCAAGTCGCTTCAGAAAAAAAGCTATATAGCTCAGTGGGCCTTACCTGGTCAAATTAAAAATAGTTTTTAGTTTATGAGAGGCAGGTTTGTATGTCGTACGACATTAATATGCCCACACGGAGGCGTCTGATGTCGTGGCAGGGGGCACGCACGATTATTTGATGGTGCCGATGTATTGTTGGCAGTGGTGTAACACCAATACAGTCACAGTGGATTGATTGATAAGTGACAAGATTTCCCAACGTGACTGGATGGATCCATTCACGTTAGGGTATAAGATTACTTTTCTTGGGGTCATCCTCTACGCGTAAATGGAGGGCATTTTTCATCCATTATTTTCTTGGTAGATTTAGTGAATTTTTTTCGGTACGTAATTAAATCGCACCTTCTAACGCAACTTCCGTGACTTTCACGCGATTTTCTGCTGAACCACAACATTATGTGCACGTGTAACTTGAAGACCGAACGGGTCTGAAGCAACCATTAATAAGTAACTGCAGGCACACGATAAGCATTTAATATTTGGGGCCGTCCATAAATGACGTCACGCACTTGGGGGGGGGGCAGACATTTGTGACGATGTTTGACGAGGGGTGGGGGTTTGGGAAATGTGCCGTCACATCAAAATGCGCAACTTTAAATAAATATAGAATTGTTGTAACAACACGAATTGTTCTAACAACACTCCTACATCAGAGTGCAGCGCCACATTAAATACGCACTACAATGACAATAGTTTAAAGCGATTTGAAACATGTTTTATTTTCAAAATGGAAATATGGTTTGGGGGGGGGCAGAGCTTTGTAGCGTCATATTTGAGTGGGGGTCTGACTTTATGTGACGCCGTGCGACGAGGGGGGGGGGGTCAAAAATCGTCCAAAATCGCGTGACGTCATTTATGGACGGCCCATGAATCTCCATATATATAAAAGGCAAAGTTGTGATTATGTGTCTGTTCAAAATGTTTAGCGTACTTGCCGACATGCAACAAACTTGAAATTTGCCATGTGGGTACTTTCCAGACTGTACACCATGCAAACATTATAAAAATACACTTTTTTGGAGGGGGGGAGCTCAATAATGCATAATTTTTTTGCACGGCAAGTGAGCTGTGACGTCAAATCTGTCATGTGACCCGCGCATGTGGAAGCGTAACGCATTGTAGTGTAGTGGTTAGCGCGCTGCGCTATTGACCCGGTGACCTGAGTTCGATTCCCGCTCACGGCCACCACCGGTGACGATTATTTCAACCGGTCCTGGGCCTCCCCTAGGTCGACTCAGCCTCAAACGAGTAACTGGTGTGGTGCGTGAACATCGCCACTGAGGAGACAAAGGCGGCCGGAATTGGTGAATCCAAGTCCCGGGCGAAGCCGGGTAGTAAAGCCAGTTCCACTTATAAAGCGCCTTTTAATCGACTATCTCTACGCGTTGGCACGACGAGTGGCCTCGTGGTGACAATGGGTAACATCGATGGGACGGCTTGTGGAAGACGGAAAGGGATATGTACGTATGTTGAACTTTTCTCGCACCGTACGTAGCCAACCGTTGTTAATCGGAGGCACGGGGGAAGGACAACAATCTGAACGCACAAACACCGTTCTCGAGTGAATGAGTTTTCAATTTAGATTGAGACGTGCACAGCTCCAGTGGCTTCCAAATATCGCAAGGAAGAGCGTTCCAGACGGCCGCAGAAGCGCATCTTGAATTACAGCACGGCAAATAAATGATATGCCAACAGGCGCCGTCCATAAATGACGTCACGCACCTGGGGGGGGGGGGGGGGTCAGACGTGACGAGTGTAACCAGGGGGGGGGGGGGGGGTTGAGAAATGTGACGTCACATAAAAATGTGCAACTTTAAATACATATAGACAACACGTTATACTTAATTAAATAGGCTTTTTAATAAATGTTTTCTCTTACGACATCAGAGTGCAGCGCCACATTAAATACGCACTACAATGACAATAGTTTAAAGCGATTTGAAGCATTTTTGGGGGGGGGAGGGGGCAGAGCTTTGTCACGTCATATGAGGGGTGGTCTGACTTTTTGTGACACCGTGTAACGAGGGGGGGGGGGGGGTCAGAAATCGTCCAAAATCGTGTGACGTCATTTATGGACGGCCCCACAGCAGCCTGATAACCTGTTTTATGCGTAGTGGTCACCCATCCAAACATTATCCCGGCTTAGCCCTGTTTATATCCTGCGTTTGAATCCGCAACAGCCGCCCACGATTAAATTGGATGCTTTAATATGCGGCGAATTGATGGTCTCAGAACGGGCTGATCCCATGTTCTCCTTAAATGTATCAAGATGAGCAGCAAGGATTTGGACTTTGAGGGACATCCGACAGCCCATTGTGCCGTAGTTCTGCACCAGTCTCAACCAGCTCCACATAGTTTTAGACCTTGTGATTGCCCAGGAAGCCACGAACCACTGCGACAAAGCTGTTCCAAGCCGCTTTCTCCTTACTAGTGAGCTACTTGGGGAATTCATTGCACTCCAGGATCTTCTTTATCTGTGGTCCGACGAAGACACCGGCTTTGACCTTTGCCTCAGACAGCTTAGGGAAGAAGTCTTGAAGGTACTTGAAGGCTGCCGACTCCTTATCTACAGCTCTGACAAATTGTTTCATTAGGCCCAATTTGATGTGCAGTGGTGGCATCAGCACCTTCTGGGGGTCCAGCAGTGGCTCCCACTTGACGTTGTTCCTCCCCACAGAGAACTCGGTTCGCTGTGGCCAGTCCCGGCTGTAGTAGTGCGCCTTGGTGTCCCTGCTGTCCCAAAGGCAAAGATAGGGAAACTTGGTAAAATCGCCATGGAGACCCATCAGGAATGCCACCATTTTGAAGTCTCCGATGACCTCCCAGCCATACTCATGATACTTCAAGGCGTCCAGCAAGGTCTTGATGCTGTTGTAATCCTCTTTGCGGTGCACCGAGAACCACGCGGACTCGGAGTTTCAGGTAAGGGCTTACGCCGGTTTATTAATACTGTCATTAAACACACTAACTCACACCAGAGGTAGGTGCACACTACCCTGGGCCCTTCCCTTGGACCTCGGCTCTACTCTTGTCCCTAGCCTCGGCTATTCTCTTGGGCTCTCTCACCCGAGTCGGAACGGGGGTTCAGCCAACTCCGTCCGACCGAGTGAGAGCAGCACCCCACTTCTCCCTAGCCGGCTCTCACGGACTTCCTCGAGCCTTCTCCTCGGTTATCCCGACGACTCTCCCACTTGTCGAACCCGGGACGGGGGTGAAGCCAACTTCCTCCGGTCACGAGCGGGAGAGACCCCCCCTTAGCTGCTCCTTAGCCCGGGCTCCCACAACAACCCCCGTTACGTCACGGGGTCCCCCTTAAGTACCCCTTTACAATCCCCGTCACATGACGCCATCAGGCTACTCCTCAACACCATTATGGAGCAGCACGGCTTTGAGGTTCCTGGATGAGCTGTCAATGAAGAGGCGACACTCATTCTGGTTACAGGCGATTCCAATTGCCTCGAACAGACTGGTCACATTGTGGCAGAAGCAAAGCCCATCTTGACGGGTGTAAAAGCTGCAAAAAGGTTGGTGACGCTTCCTCTGATCTGCGACTTGCACACTTTTATCCAACAAGTTCCACTGCTTGAGCCTAGACGTCAAAAGCTCGGCATTGGACTTGGTGAGACCAAGATCTCTGATCAAGTCTTTGAGGTCTTTTTGGTTGGGGTAGTATGGGTTTCTCTCCTCAGCTCCACCTTGGAAATTGTCATCTGGATCTACAACGTCTCTGACTTGCTGCTCTCTTCTAAAAACGGCTGCTCTCTCTCCGGAGGAGTGGGTACGGGGAGCTCATGCCAGTGTGGCACCGCGGCGATGGATGAAGGAAGGTCCGGATACGTGATAGCGGGTGCATTCTTGCCAGTCCGACGTTTGGAAGGGTCCACCATGTAGAAGTAGCAGTTGCTTGAGTGGTCAGTGGGTTCCCGCCAAATTATTGGGATAGCGAACTTCATGGCTCTCTTTTCCCGTCTGTACCATCCTACAAAAATACATTTATTTCACCCATGACTAATGTGTAAGAGATTCTCGCAACATTTTTCATATATGATATACTTTTTCAATAACATTGAAAACTGTAAAACAATTTAAAATTAAAAACTTTTACAATTTAAAAAATTGTAACAAATTTTATAACGTAAAATTCTGAGCAACAATTGTCCATCTTACCTTCCAGAGTTTTTTTTGCATTGCTCACAGGTGAAATGAGGTGCCCAGGGTTTGTCTTGATCCCTGACAGGCATGCGAAAATATGCCTTGTAGGCCTCACACATCTTAGCAGATGCTTCCACAGAGTACTATTTCGCTCTTGTCTTGATAAATTGGCCGCAGACTAGCAAAATGCGTCTGCCGGATGCTTGCAGCCTCTTGATGCCATCTCAGAAAAATGCAGATATGTATCCACTTTTGCAGCTGGAACTAATCTGAACTGGTGGGCTTAAGGCCCCTGTATTTATACTATTTATATTACTGGAAGGTTCTAGAATGTTCTAGAAGTTACTCCAAGTGTACTAAGCACTGAATCTATCTGGAATGTTCTGGAAAATAGGTTAATTTCAAAATATCACTGTCCTGGTCACAAAAGCAAAGTTCATGGGGAACAATAGCCATTTTTCTGTACTTTTGAGGCATAAGCAATTAGGAAATAACCCTTACTACCCAGGAACAAAAAAAAAGAAAAAAATGTTACACTGTAATCATGAGCAGGTCATTATTTTCGATTTAATATTTCAGATGAACTGCAATATACACCCGTCCTTGGACGGGCTATAGGCTAGTAATATTATAATTTCTAGACAATTATAATATTAGGCATCTATCAATTTAAGCCCGTGGAAATCCCATAAATTGTCACCATGCACCTCCACGATTTGATTCGACCATCTGCAAGTATTGCCTCGTTATTCGTGTTATTTATCGTTTTTTTTCTGTCTCGCTTGCACCGTTTCTTTTTCCCCATCGCAGAGATCCCCGTACCATTCTTTGTGCGTAATTTCTTAATAATTTACGGGCCGCTGTCGATCCACGGGTTTGTGAAGAAGAGGGCCCCCCAAGATCGGTTCAATTATATCACTCGTTGCCGATCTTGGCATTGGCTACAGCCGGCAATCGGACTCGGGTAGCCAGATCTGTAGCGGATTGCGCGCTAATCACACCACCACCGCTTCCTTCTAGTTATTATATATGCCAACCCACCCACACACGCACACCACAGTGGAAATTTCCCTGAGCTTTGTGCATTTCATGGCATTGTGTGTTAGGGCAGGGAAGGGAGTGGTTCGCGCAGTGGTTATATTATCACACGGCGCTGTGAACTTAAGCGACCTGCATTTTATTTCCGGTCATGAATCACCTTTTTTACGCGAATGTTTTTGTCATTAACACCCCCCACACCAAACCACTTGACAAGATTGTCACGTTTACAAAGATACTTGTCTAACATTTTTAAGCTACCAGAGAGGAGGAGGTAGCTTCACGCTCCCGTTGGGGAACCGCGCTGGTGAGATGTTAACTCCCTCGCGTGGTATACAGGAGATCGTGGTTTCTATCCCATACCGTGTCAACCCATATGGTTTACCCCGTATTCATGTAAATGGAAATTGAGTTTTCAGGTCCATACGGCGTACAGCCGTTTCAATACGGTTAACAACAACAACAAAATTGTGTTTCTCCCTTGTGATGGGACTTTGTAGGATGAACGTTGAGATTTATAAGGGCACGGGGTGACCAATAAGGTCTGAATTGGTCTGTAATAAGGTAGTGCGCTGACAGGTGTGCGATCCCGACCCTGACCACTGCATATCTGGACTATATTTGGTGTGTCTCTCTCCCCGTGGTCGCGTGGATTTTTCTCCTGATCCTCCCGTGTTTCCTTCCACATTTAAAATCATGTGTTTAGAGTATTTGGCTGCTATACATTTCCACATGAGAATAAGCTACTTCGTGCTATCATTTGTGGCCAGGCCGCTTCTGAAAAAAAGAGCTAATAGCAGTAAAATAAAAATTGTATAGTACTGTTTGAAATGCATCAATACTTGGCCACGTATAAATAATATATTTGTAAAGGTGAAAATCTTGTCGGCATGGTGGAGGGTTAACAGCAAATAAATTTGCCATGAAAAAAAAAAGCTACCAAAACCAAAACGCAATATCAATCAAAATAAAATTACTGGTGAAAAAAAACACAACCAAAAAAAAACCTCCCCTCTGATCTGGCAACAGCCTCGCAGCAACTCTCAACGTGCAGGTTCAAAAAATAAAAAACCCCTCTAACATGGTAAGCGTTGGGTGGTGTTCACCGCGGTCATTATTCAAGCTTGGGGGGGGGGTGATGGTTGGGTAGGGGGGTGGTGGTTGGGGGGGTGGTTGGGTTGGGGGGAGAGTGGTGGTTGAGTAGGGGGGGTGGTGGTTGGGTAGGGGGGGTGATGGTTGGATTGGGGGGAGAGTGGTGGTTGAGTAGGGGGGGTGGTGGTTGAGTAGGGGGGTGGTGGTTGAGTAGGAGGGGTGGTTGGGGGGGTGGTAGGGGGGGGGTGGTGGTTGAGTAGGGGGTGGGGGGTTGGGTAAGGGGGGGTGGTGGTTGGGTAGGGGGGGTGGTGGTTGAGTAGGGGGGTGGTGGTTGGGAGGGGTGGTTGGGGGGGTGGTTGGGGGTGGTGGTTGGGGGTGGTGGTGGTTGGGTAGGGGGGGGTGGTGGTTGGGTAGGGGGTGGTGGTTGGGTAGGGGGGGGTGGTGGTTGAGTAGGGGGGTGGTGGTTGGGAGGGGTGGTTGGGGGGGTGGTTGGGGGTGGTGGTTGGGGGTGGTGGTGGTTGGGTAGGGGGGGGTGGTGGTTGGGTAGGGGGTGGTGGTTGAGTAGGGGTGGTTGGGGGGGTGGTGGTTGGGTAGGGGGGGTGGTTGGGTAGGGGGTGGGGGGTTGGGTAGGGGGTGGTGGTGGTTGGGTAGGGGGGGTGGTGGTTGGGTAGGGGGTGGTGGTGGTGGGGTAGGGGGGGGGTAGGGGGTGGTTGGGTAGGGGGTGGTTGGGTAGTTGGGGGTGGTGGTTGGGTAGGGGGTGGTTGGGGGTGGGGGGTTGGGTAGTTGGGGGTGGGGGGTTGGGTAGTTGGGGGTGGGGGGGTTGGGTAGTTGGGGGTGGGGGGTTGGGTAGTTGGGGGGTTGGGTAGTTGGGGGTGGGGGGTTGGGTAGTTGGGGGTGGGGGGTTGGGTAGTTGGGGGTGGGGGGTTGGGTAGTTGGGGGTGGGGGGTTGGGTAGTTGGGGGTGGGGGGTTGGGTAGTTGGGGGTGGGGGGTTGGGTAGTTGGGGGTGGGAGGTTGGGTAGTTGGGGGTGGGGGGTTGGGTAGTTGGGGGTGCTGCTGCGAGTCGAGAGAGAGGAGAGCGCTGCAAGTGGCAGAGTCCACAACCAGCACCCAACCACCGGCCACCACTTTCCCACCACTCCTCTCGCCATCCAGCGACGGCCACGCAATTTTATCAGCAGCGACAGAAACAGCAAGAAGCCGGTGGTGGTGGTGGCGGCGGCGGCGGTAAAGGGGCCACGGCAGAACGAGCCGAGGGGACGTTAGTAAAACAAATACACGCACGGAGAGCGAGAGAGAGAGAGGAGAGAAGGAGACATCTCTGCCCCCAGACATGACTTCGAGAAGGTGAGGAGGATGAGAGGGATGGAGTTGAAACTCTTAACATCCATCCATCCAGCCTGTGCTCCGTCATCATCGTCATTATCATCATCATCATCAGCCGTGGTCAATCCACTGCTGGATGAAGACCTCAAGCACTTTTATCATCATCATCATCATTCAGCCGTGGTCGATCCACTGCTGGACGGGAGGCTTCACGAGTTTCGTCGTCCTCTTATCGTCCGTAATCATCATCATCATGATCATCAGTCATGGTCAATCTACTACGGGATGAAGCCTTGTCCCCAAGCGCGTGGCGCATCGAAAATGTTCCCTCATCGGAGTCGCGGTGGTTCAAGTCGACTGCTGGAAGGGTGGGTGGGGAAGTTCGAACCAATCTCTCTCTCTCTGAAGCATCTAAATGTTGTCGGTCATGCTCAGTACACTGCTAGATGAAGGCCTCTCTCCCCTCCCGGGTCTCGTGTCTACTCACGATAACATCGCCGTAACACTACGCTTTTTAATGCATATGCAACGTAAAACGAACGAGACGGAATGGGCTGCATTGCGCGCTGTGTGATGTTATATATTACCACAAAAAAAAACAACGTTTGCGTCGTTAATGATTGGCCGAGGCTGGGCCTAGTGTGCTGTTGGGGCGCCTCGGTCTTGCCTAGATTTTGGCACGGGGCTGAGGGCTTCCTCGCCCCGTCGAGAGGCGGGCGGCGATGGGGGGGGGGGGTCGCGTTACTCGGAACAACTTTTGTCTCTAACAAAAAAAACATGCCAGTTGTACATATTTTGTTTGTTGCACAAAATGCTGCAGTGTTTAAACATGTTATATCGCAATAGACGTACCGTTAGGTGTCTTAAGTTATGCGACAGAGTGCCCTTTGGTTGGGATAAAAGTCACTTAAAATGTGACGTCAAGTTTTGGGTTATAAACAACATTTTGTATTGTACAGCGGTTAGCAAATTAACACAATATACAGTTTTACTAAATGTCAGCCCGTTGTATCTGTGGTGGAATTAGTCATGTGTGTTTTTTTTTTGTCAGCTGATGTACTCGTTTAAAAGTGTAGTGTGATTGGTAAAAGATAACTGGACTTTTACAATTACGCAATCTCTGCAACAAGGACCATTTTCAAGTCCAAATGCTGCTTATTATTACGATTAACGCCATCCTCTGTTGCCCTGGACAGCGTGTACAGCACGACGTATGAGAACATTTTTTGTTGTTGTTTTCATTTGTAGACGTGTGTTTTGGGTTTTTTGTTTTAAATCTATCCCTCCACCACAGTGGCATTCGCCTTCACAAATGTATCACTGGCTATAGCACGCATGGGCAATGTTTTTGGAAAATTGTCAGATGGGCAACCTTTGCACTTTCTCCCTGCACCCATACTCGAGCTTAGTTACGTTGAATTGCATGTACTAAAACATGGTTTAACCCCGATGGTGCGTGGCTGGGTGACCAACATGCACAGCTGCTTGTGATAGGGTGCGTGGCGACGCGGTTAACAGCAGAGGCCCGTGCCACAAAATCCATTGTTGAACTCTCAACTTGTTAGCCGTCACTTCAATGCCTTGACAAACCCGCACCGACTAGCGTGGTGAAGTATGGTCTAATAACCTCCGCGATCTGCACGGTGTGGTAAGGCCCTCATACAGAAAGTGGGTTGACAACATTTACATGCTTCAGAACTCCATTAATCTGCCTGGATATGGGGGGGGGAGAGTGGCATTTCTCGGATGCTGTTATCTGCGACACCGTATAGGTCGTTCCGCTATATATATATTTTTAATGTATAGTCGACGCGGTATTTCCCGGTATACAGGAGGAATAATTAGCTGGGCTCCGGAGGATTCGCGAACCGCGAATTTCAGGAATGTGTGGGGGCCACCGTATCCCACCATCACTGAATTGTCGGGGCCGTTGCCCACCGACTCCCCCGTTCCACTCATACCGCTACCCCCCGGCTGCTCTGTCAGGTCCAGACTACCGACCCCTAATGCCTCGCCCCCCTGTACCTCTGCCTGGGATGTCGACCGCGTTTGCGTAGCTTTAATTAGCGGCTCGTACGCTTTGCACTTGCGATGCGCTACACTGTTCAACGGCGGCGTGCCGCGGTGGAGCGCGCTCGCAAAGTAAAACCCCGTCCTGCACGGGAATAAACAGGCGCGGGCGCGCCCCCTTGGGATTTCCTCCCACCCACACTCCACGCGCTTAAGCAAAAACAAACACGCCGCGATTACTTTGCTCCGATTTAACGGGCTGTTTACACAGCTGCGTATTCGCGCACGCCAGGCGCTTAATTCGCTACCTCGCTATTAGACAATCGCGCGGGTGCGCGACCGCCACCCCGCCACCCCCGTCACACAGGCGCGCGAGCGCAAAGCGCTACTGTAGGCTATTGCGCAGGTACGCGAGCGCTGGGCACCACCGAAAATAGTCGTGTAGGTACGCGCGCGCTGAACAATACTGTAAACGATCGTACAGGTACGGACACCAAACACAAAACACTCTCCACCCTCCTCTTCACCCTCCAAAGGACCACACGAAACAGTTTATTCCCCTACCAGTTATTTTATTTACCTGCGAGCAACCCGTTAAGCTACGCGTAATTGTGTGGGTCAGTGGATGTCGGCCTATTCCCCTTGGGATCCTAGACTGTATTTCCTCTGCCTATCGCTCTGCTTTCTACCCTCGATCAAGTAGCCCAAACTTACCTCTTTGTCTTACTCACGTGTACTTCCACTCTGCTGCGCTGGAACTGTACTGTAGCAAAGCGATCAGTAGAGGGTTGAGCCTGGCTGCGCTGAAGTTCGTCACGCGGACGTCTCGAACGGCTGACTCCCCTCCTGCGTGGACCGCGATGATTTTTGAAGAAGAACTGCCCTTGCTACCTGAATCCCCCTCCCTTTATCCCACCTACAACAAAGGAATTTCGCCGTTTCGCTCCCTTGGCCTCCCGTCCAATCAGAGGCTCGGATTTTCCCGCCTTTTCGATACCCGGATCCCAGCTCGGGTGATGTCGCCGCAGTGATCTCTCCGACGTCCGCTCTCTGTTCTCCCGCTACCAGTCCACTGACCCGTGCTTGTGCGTGTGTGGTTCCACTCGCAGTGCATGGCCCTTGCCGTGACCATGCAACTTTAATATTAGGTCACGGCGCCGCAGTGCATGTCAGCTACAGGGGGAAGATCGCCCAATTTCTCGGCCGCAGGAAACCATGAAGTTCGATCCCATTAGGGACTTCTGGAAAAAACCTACCGGCCGGGTGACCTCCCCTCCCGGTTCTACGTGGGGCGTGTGTGCGTTCGTGCGGGGGGGGTGGGGGGGTGGCGAGGGTGCACCGCGTCGGCATCCCCCGGTGGCGGCTTCACGGCGGTGGGCACGGCCTCAGCAGAGCGGCTCTGCTGCGGCGGCCTCGCGACTGTGAAGTGGGCAAAACGCGGACGTCTGAGAAGGCACCGGCCCCAGGAGGGTGGCGGCAAATCCGAGGCATCGGTGACGGCGTCGCGGCGGTGGGCACGGCTCCGCTGGAGCGGCTCCGCTGCGGCGGCACCACAAATGCGCGGATTTATGGAGTTGTGCTTCACATTGCGTTGAAACGCGCATTTTTTTTGCACGCTTGATGTTTTATCTTGGAACGTTAGAATGCTTAATGCTGTTTTGGTCAGTTATGTTGCACTTACAACAAAATGATGACACTTAAATTAAATAGTATTACACCATTACACTTTATTTCCAATGCGGTGCACTATTTGCATGAATACCAGTTGTATTTGTAGCGATTATACGAAGTACTCCGACCTCTGCATTTCATCTCGGATCCCTTTTGCTTTTGCGAGCAAGATGTGAATGTCACTGGACCCTCGCATGGTTTTGCTCAAGGAAATTAATGAAGCCATTAAAATAAGTAATATTTCAAAATTATTTTTTTTAAAACACGCTTTAATGAAATGTACCGTGCGAGTAATGGCAGAACTCCACGACTCCAGGAAGTGGCCCCCGAAGCTTGCCACGACGTACGGAACCGTGGTGATTTACGGCCAACGTCAGTTGAGCGTGGACGATTAGACCCAAGCCGAAACATAAGATTAAAAAAAGATGGTTTGAAAATATATTTTTATTTTTTTATGATAGAATCTAGTATTGTCATCGGTAAGACGTAAGTATACGAATTGTGCAGTCGGTAGCACATTGGGAAGTGGGTTAAAATTGAGTTACAAGATTTGAGGATACGACGACAACAACAACAGACAGTGATCTTCTTTGGTTCTTTCGGTAAAGTCACGTAGAACGAGAATAAAATAATAAATTGATAAAATAAAATAACAATATTCTCACGACGTTTCGGCCACAACACAAGCGGCCTTCATCAGGTGAAGGGGACGAGACTGTCTGGTAGGACAGCGCTGGAGCGAGTTAAATAAAAGCGTGTAAAATAGATCAATTCAAATGGTAGAATGGTGGTGCAGTGGTTAGTGCATGTCTCAGTGAATCCCCGGGGGACCTGCATTTAGTGCCCATTTACTGACATCGCTGGCGACTAATATCCGAACCAGTCTTGGTGTGCCACACATCTTCACAAACTCACTGACCCAGTGTGGTCAACTGTGGTCAACTGTGGTCAAACAGTCCCCGTGACAAACGCAGCATGGGGGAGGCCTTCATCCAGCAAAGGGCATGATTGACAAAGTTCACATCTTCTTTGGTTCTTTCGGTAAAGTCACGTAGAATGAGAATAAAATAATAAATAAAATAACACAATAATATTCTCACGACGTTTTGGCCGCTTGTGTTGTGGCCGAAACGTCGTGAGAATATTATTGTGTTATTTTATTTTATCAATTTATTATTTTATTCTCATTCTACGTGACTTTACCGAAAGAACCAAAGAAGATGAATCCTTGCAGTCACGAAAGCTTTAAATCGAAAGTGTTCATAATATGTGGAAAAAGGGCTTTCAGAAATTCCTATGCATTCTAAGTTTTCCTGTAGGGCGTGGTGTAAAGGCTCCAC